ATCAAGTGTTGGAATGCAGACTGGTGCAGGGCCAAAGGGTAGAACATGGCACTGCATCAGATGCCATTTGGTATACAAATCCATTCCCACTGAAGGCTTGAGAGGCCCCGATACGCCTTAAGGGCCTACAAGTGGTCTCTGAAAAGACCCCGACTGTCCTGCCTGCCTGAGAGGCAGCCCCGTCTTCCCACGTCCACTTGTGGTCATGGCTCCCCTGAAGTGCCCCCCAGATTCTCAGCATGCCTGGAGCCCCTCTCCTTCTGCCAGCCTCTGCTGAGCTCTCCTCGCTGTGAGCGGATGACGGAGGGTGCTCTCAACACTGGCAGTGTCCAGGTAGAGGCGATGGTGGCCCGAGGACTGCTGTTGGAGGCGTTTTGGAGATGTGGCCTGTGGCCCTTGCTGGCACATGGGAGAGCCGGTTGTAATGGAGAGGCGACTCCTAAATAACCACAAAGCTTTCAGCCTGAAAACTGGAAGGCCAAGTTACAGCCCTGCCTTATCTTTGTTTGTCTCATTGGTGTTGTGGAGGGAGACTAACCTTTTCTGTTTGGGACACTACGTCAGTCTCTTGGAAGCCTCGGGCAAGGTGTATGAAGCAGCTGTGACCTGAGCCGGGCTTGGTTCAGCCAGAGGCCCTTCAGGGAGTGGGTGATCCTCCCTGAGGATGACCAGAGAAGCCAGGGCCTGAATGGGCCCCTTCGTGGTGCTGAGGACGGCTGGGATGTTGGAGCAGGACCAGCCCAGTGTGCCCAGGAGGTCGGCTGGAGGACCAGGCTGGCTGCCTTGGGTAGCACGGAGGAGCCAGTGGCCTTGATGGCGTGCAGCATGCCTGACCCCGGTGAGAGGGAAAGATGTTTCTCGCGAGGAAGGCGGAGTCAGCCGGAGCCCAAGGGCTACCTGCCGGGAAAGGCGGTGTGGCCATTCCTGCACAGGGGGCAGCGTGGCTGTGGGCAGGCACCCTGCCCCCAGAGCTGCAGAGTGAAGCCACTTGACCCAGCCAGGCCTTCGTGCAGTTAGTGCAGTGCCCACCTGTGCAGGGAAGCAAGGTGCTCACAGGGCAAGGGACAGACGGGCACAGCAAACACGAACAAGAGGCTGCCTAACACACAGACCTTTGGGACATCAAGAGCCGCAGTGCTCCCAGAACAGACGGTCAGGGTCAGCGCACTACCCACGGGCAGCTGATCAGCAAGGAACATGGACAGTTTTAAAATGACTTTGCTGGTTTGAAAAAGAAACATTTTTTTAAAACATCCTCAAGAACTGAAAAATACAAAACAAATTAGAAACTAAAGGGCGTGTTTCTTGGCAATTTGAGAGTAGCGGATCAACGGACAGGGCGGATCGGCGAGCATGACGGGTCGTGAAGGAATAAACGATGGATTAAACAGGATGGATTAAGTGTCCAAGATGACAGCGTGCACAGTCGCAGCCAGCAGAGCAGCATTTAGACAGCTTCAGATTTTACAAAGCTGACACACCTGGAGATTGAATCCAAAAGTCCCAAACAAGATAAGCAGACTACAGAAGGAATGTAGGAAATTGAAGATATGGAGAACAACCTTAAAAAGCGGTCAGAGGCACACACACAGCACGCTGCTTGCACCCTCCCTGGGGTCCGAGTTGTAGCAGCTCAGCTTCACCTCCGACAGCTTGCACCTACAGGGCTAGTCCCACACTTGGTCCCTCCCAGCTTCACCCCGCGTGGGCCTGGATGAGGCTGTGGGCTCCCAGCTTCACCCCGTGTGGGCCTGTGTTTGGGGAATGAACCAGAAGATCTGTTTGCCTTCCCAAGATGCAGTTCAACCTTTTTTTTTTTGTTTTTTAATTAAGCCAGCATAATCTTGATGCCAAAACAAAGACATGAAAAAGGAAAAAAAAAAAAAGGCTTCATTGATGAGCAAATGTAAAACTAAACAAAACAGTGGCAAGGAAAACAGCAACACATAAGGACACTGTATTTTGAATAAGTTGGATTTATTCTAGGCACCCAAGGTTTATGTTTTGCTCATTCACCTTATTGACAGCATATGTGACAAGACATGCAAAAGCGTTCATTAAGGTTGGAAGACAGCTAGCTTCCTCCAGGCAGGCTGCAGGCAACGTGGCTGGGAGGGCAGCCAGGCACGGAGGGCAGGCTGGCTGAGGAGCGGCTGGATTCGGCTCAGACCTTGGCAGCAGACAGAACTGAGACAGGAACAACTGAGGGCTAAGCCAGGATGCCTGCTGTCACTAAAGGGAAGAAGTTCTAACCAGTACCCTCAAGGAAAGGGGCCCAGAACGCAAGGTCCAAAATAGTCCACAGGAGGTGTGCTGCAGGAGGGGGGAGCTGCCTGCAGGAGGGGGGAGGCGTGCTGCAGGAGGGGGGAGCTGCCTGCGGGGGGGGGGGGAGCTGCCTGCAGGAGGGGGGAGGCGTGCTGCGGCTCACACCAAGCAGGTGGAGCCAGGCTTACCACACACGGCCTGCTATGGAGCAGCGAGCAGCGCCATCCCCCTCACAATAGGATTTACTGAAGAGCTCGTGCGGCTGGGCGGCCAAGGTTCCTGCTTAGGTTGGTTAAATGTGAGGTAACTTCCTGCAGGATCTCAAGTAGGAGGCTTGAGAATGCCAAACAAACAAACAAACAAAGCTTAACGGGGCTGGCACACTGGCTCTACAAGGCAATCTTCCACTTACATGCCAGTGTCCCACACGGGGAGTGGTTAGTCCTGGCTGCTCCACTTCAGTCCAGCTCCCTGCTAAGGGCCTGGGAAAGCAGATGGACCAAGCCCTTGGGCCCTGCACCCACATGGGAGAGCCAAAGCAGCTCCTGCCACTGCAGCCATTGCGGAGTGAACCAGTGGACAAAGGTCTAACACCCTGTCTGTAAATTGGCTGTTCAAGTTAAAATAATAAAAAATGCTAGCTTAGGGAAGACATCTTGGGTAACAGCACAGAGAAACTTCCATTTAGGGTTCCTTGCTCGGACCAAGCAGGTGATTTCATCTGGAATTTAGGGCTCCGATGATGCAGGGACCAAGTCCAGGGCCTAGCACAGGGGACAGGAAGCAGCCCCAAGAAAATCTGGGCCCAGCGGCTAAATCCTCACCTTGCACGTGCTCAGGTCCCATATGGACTCTGGTTCGCATCCCAGCTGCTCCACTTCCCAGCTCCCTGCCTGTAGCCTGGGGAAAATAGTGGAGGACGGCCCAAAGCCCTGGGAAGCTGTACCCGCATGGGAGACCCAGAAGTTGCTAGCTGCTGGCTTTGGATTGGCTCAGCTCTGGCCATTGCGGCCATGTGCAGAGAGAACCAGCAGATGAAGATCTTTCTCTTGGTCTCTCCATAAATCTGACCAGGCCTTATGGTTAAAAAAATAAGTTAAATCTTAAAGACCACCTGGGGACATTCCCCACCCGGGAATGGAGGCGGGGGGGGGGGGGACGCCCTGCCAGGGTTTCTGGATACTGATCCGAGCGAGATTCCTGAGGTGTGGGGGACACTTACACAGCTTTAGTTTTGGGGCTGAAGTGCTCTCTGCATTACAGTAACTCCACTACAGACAGGCAGGGGTGAGGGCGAGTGCTCCCAGGCTGCAGCTCTGCCATCAGCAACCCGGGACGCTGGGCCGCCAGCCTGTGGCTCAGTGCGTTAGTTCTATTGGTCCTCCGTCCCGACTCGTCATCTACGTACCCCACTCATGTATTTTATAAGTGGCTTCAATCGCAGTGGGTACTCACAGGCCACGCTCCCTCAGATGCCTGGGTGCTCCGAGTCCAAGGGCCTCTAGGAACGGCACACGGAGGTGCCTTCAGGGAGGTGCTGCGGCCGGCAGGTGCAGGTGCTTCGTGGGTTCGTGGGTTTGCGGGTTCGCTCACCGTGGCAGTTCATCTTTCTTTTAAAGTAGAGGCATTTACCAGCCCACATCCCAGAAGTGGATGAGCGTGTGAGCACATGGCCCACCAAGGAACCGCTGCTTATTCTGTCCCCTGGTCACGACCTGGCCTCTGGTCCGGCTCAGCAGGCCCTAGCCCGCCGGGTTCCCCCTCACGTGCGTGCATCTCTGAACTCCTGCCCATCGGGGACTGGTCCGCCACGTGTCAAGGTTGTGGCAGGTGAAGCCCTTGAGCACCTGAGTCCCACTGCAGTTCCCTGGGCGCTGCTGCACACGCTGCTGCCCACGGGGCTCCTGGCCCGGGCCGTCGGGGGCACGATCGCAGAGGCCCCAGCACCCCCCCGGACCCCGACCCCCGAATCCCTGCCCCTCAACCCCGGGAATCACAGGTCCCTCGCCTGCCCGCCCCCAGGACCTCCCAGACCCCAGACCCCTCGGACCCCGGGTCCTCCAGGTCCCCCAGCCTCCCAGACCCCTGACCCCTTGGACATCCTGCCCTCCCGACCTCTCGGACCCTGGATCCCCTGACATCCCAGACCCCCGACCCCCCAGACCCCGGGTCCCCCCCAACCTCCCAGATCCCCGACTCCTCGGACTTCCGCCACCTCCCTGACCCCGGGTCCCCCCGACCTCCCAGACCCCCGACCCCTTGGACCTCCGCCCCCCCGACCTCCCAGACCCCCGACCCCTTGGACCCCCGACCCCTCGGACCTCCGCCCCCTAGGACCTCCTGCCCTCCCGACCCCTCGGACCCCGGGTCCCCCGGACCTCCCAGACCCCCGACCCCTCGGACCCCCGACCCCGGCCCGCCCGGCCAGGTGACGCCGCCGCCCGCTCGCCGGCCGGGCCCGCGCATGCGCCCCGCGCCGCCCCCGCCCCCACCGGCCCGCGCCCAACGCCCCGCCGCGGCCCGCGGGCCATGGAAGCCGCCGAGGCCGGCGCGGCTGGAGCGGCGACCCCCGCGCGTGCGGGCGCCTGTCCCCCGTGAGCCCGGCGCGCCCCGCCGCGGCCCCGCCGCTCCGCCCGCCTCCCCGCCCCGGCCGGCCGGGCGCGCCCCCGCCGCAGCACCCGCGCGTGCGCGCGCCCGCCGCAGAGCCGCGCCGAGTGAGGGGTGGTCGGCCGACGATGCCGCGGGGCCGCCCCCCGAAGCCCAGGGACGGCGCGGCGCGCGGCGACTCCGGTAAGCCCGCGGCCCGGGCCTCCGCGCCGCCCAGTGCCCGGATGGCGGCCGGATGGCGCCCGGATGGCGCGGGGGGCGCCGGGAGCGGCGGCCGGGCGGAATGATACGGGCGGCGCCGCGGCCCCTCCGCGCGCTGGGCCTACTTTCCTGGGCCGCGGCTCGCTCGCGCCCGCCCCTGCGCCCGCCCCGCGCGGGGGTGGGGGCCGGGGCCGGGGTCGGGGGTCGGGCGGGGGCCGGGGCCGGGGCCGGGGGCCTGGCCGGGCGGGACCGGGCGGGCGGCGGGGCGCCCCAGCCCCCGCAGGCCCCCAGGCCCCCAGGCCGCGCCGGCGCGCACAGTGAGGCGGCCCTGCCCCGCGCCGCGCCGCCAGAGGGCGCCGTGCGGTGCACACAGTAGGTGCCGCGTGGCCTCGGCGGGTCGGGCTCCGCGCACGCCCGCGGTGCGTGGCCCCGGTGCCCGCAGTGTGCCGCTCCGGTACCGGGAGGCAGCAGGGGAGCCCGGGGCCCCGTCCCCGGCTCACCACGGGCTCTGGGAGGAGGCTGGCTCTGCTGCGCCCTAAGACGCAGCTGCTTCTGCCCAGGTGAGCGGGCCTCGCCCGGGCGTCCCTCACCTGGCCACCGTCCACCTGCAGGGCCGTTTCGTATGGGAAGGAGGCGGCCACGCCCGGTTACAGCCCTCGGGAGCGCCCCGGCCCCTCTGTGACAGGGCCAAGGCCCTTCGGAGGCGGTGCGGTGCAGTTAGCGTCTGCAAGGCTGACTTCCTGTGCGTGTGTTGGATTTAAGTCCCACCTGTGGCCGTCTTGGCAGGGCCAAGGCCAAGTGCAGCCCACGGGCTCCGTGTCCCCGCTCTGCTCTGGGGGACCCTCGTCGCTCCTGGGGCCAGCTGGGTCTCCTTGCACAGAGCGGCGCCACCTGCTCTTGGCTCGGGGCCTCAGCCAGGTCGTCTACAAGGCCTCCTGCTAGTCCCGTAGGGCTCTGTGCCTCCCTGGGCTTCTTGGAAGGCCTTCTTCAAACCAGAGCCCGTCCGCTCCTCGGGGCCACTTCTCAGCAGGTGGGCGGTGGCTCTGGCAGCTACTGCAGGTGCCTGGGAGCCTCAGCGACGGCTGGGAGGGCCCCCTCCGCCTCTTCCTGTGCAGGAGGTCTTGGGGGCCCAGCCGGTCTCCCTGTCTGCCAGCTGTAACAGTAGCAAGGATCTGTATACAGAAGCCCCTGGCAGTGTTTTTGTGTTAACATGTAGTAGAGTTTGCAAAGAGCATTACTTATTGGAAGATGGGGAGCAGATAGAGCTTCTATCTGCCGATTCACTCCCCAAGTGGTTGCAGAACACGCGGCCCGGGCCAGGCTGAAGCAAGGAATTGTACGGGTCTCCCACGAGGGTGCAGGGGCCCAGGCCCGTGGCCCACGCTCTGCTGCCTTCTCAGGAGCCTTGCCAGGGAGCTGGCGTGGGAGGTGGGCTCGTGGCACGGGCCGGCCGGCTCTGCCCTGTACTGGCCCCCATGCCCTCAGCTCTTAATGATGTCTCTCCTGGGAATTGATTTCACCTGGTGGCCCCACTGTGGCCTGCCCTGAAAACCCTGTGAGGCCTGCAGGCGTCTGCAGAGGAGAGGGGCGTGTGAGGTGGCCCGCTGTGGGTTGGGCTGCGGGTCCCTGTGCCCAGATGCGCGTTGCATTTGCCCTGGCGAGCAGGAAGGCAGCTGTGCCAGGCGCTGGGAGAGCAGGCCTTCACAGGGCAGCGCCCGTCCCGCGTGCATCCTGAGGTGCTCCCCAGGGCAAGCTCTTTCCTCACTCTGCCTCAGTAGGTGCAGGGGCTTCCGCTTTCTCTTTGCCCTGCTGCCGGTTTGCTGTGTCTAAGAATCGCCCAAGTCATTGGTGTGTCTTTCAGAATTGCAGAAGTTGCCTTCGGGGCCTCAGGGCTCCTGGGGAGAACCTCCCCTCTCCCCAAGAGGGGCAGTCACCCCTTTTCTCATCTGAGGCTTGGCAGGGCTGCTCAGTTTGACCAATCTTGCAAAGGGAACAGAACAAAGTTTGGGGTCTCCTTCCTTAGGTACTCATCGGGTTTGCACTGTTGGTTTTCCCCGTTTTATTTTCTGTTGTTCCTCCTGGCTTCTTGATGTGGCCTGCTCATTTTCAGCCTTATCTCTCCGACACGTGTGTCTGAGGCTACATGCACAGCACGGCTGCCGTGTGCACTGCGTGGCAGGCATCCTGCCCCCGGGCCGGTGGGGTTGGGGTGCTGCTTCACTCTGCCCCCCATGCATCTGGACAGGATTCCCTTTTATCTTCATTAGGCTTGAGGAATGAGGTTTTTTTGTTTGTGTTGTTGTTTGTTTGGTTTTTTTTAACAACGTATTTATTTATTTATTTGAAAAGCAGTTACAGAGAGGAGAGACAGAGCTCTTCCGTCCTTTGCTTTACCCCTCAGAAGTTTCCTCTGGATCCCCCAAATGGGAGAGAGGCCCCAAACACTTGGCCATTCAGGCTGTTTCCCAGGACATTAGCAGGGAGCTGGGTCAGAGCGGAGCAGCCGGGACCCCCACCAGGACCCGCGTGGGGTGCTGGCACTGCGCCCGTGCGGCTCAGGGCAGTCCTGGTCGTCCTTGTAATTCCCCGTTCTCAGCTGGGGCTCTTCCGGGACAGTCGGGTCGTTGCTACGGTGATTGGCCGGGTGGGCGTGTGCCTGAGGGGACTGGCCATCTGGGGCTCACCGGGGCTTGGCTCCCATCTGCTGAGGCTCTCGGATGGTGCTCTCTGGTACCTTCTGCAGGAGGATGACTGTCCCCTCCTCGTGGCCCGTCCTCCTGTTGGACCTTTGTCGTGAACTGGCATGTTTACCTTAGGCGGGGCCTTCGCCCTGTGCTCCACGGCTCTGCCACGACCTGGCCTGTGCCCGGGCCTTCTGCCCCTGTTGGAAGCTGTTTCTCTTGGAAGTGGCACATAGTTGGCTTCTTTCTTCTTCTGTAAGGGTTGTCTGGTAGCCTTTTAGTTGACGTGTTGAGTTTTGTGTTTGATTCTTCTGTTGCTCAGGCGAGTTTTTAAAACGTGGCTTCTGTCCCTCTCCGTGTGCGTTCTGTGGTGACGTGGTCACATGTGAGGGGAGTGGGCCTTGGCCTGTCGGCCATCCCACTCCTTATGTATTGTGGAGTGTGTCGTCATTGTACTTAAGACTTGGGGTTTTTCATTGTGAGCCCCCCGAGAAGCGTGTCCTGGCACTAGCATGTGCAGTGTTCTGCACTGACCCTCCCAAGATGGCTCCTTCTGGAAGCCCTGTGCCCCGGGCAGGCGCTCCCAGGCCCAGCTCTAGTCCCTGGCCCCCAGAACCCCCTTTTTGTATGTGGCTTCGTCCGGCCTGGCTACCTCCTCTCTGGAGCGTGCGGGGGCTGTCTGCATGGTGCCTGTCCCTGCGGCCTGTCCCTGCGGCCTGTCTGCATGGTGCCTGTCTCTGCGGCTTTCTGCATGGTGCCTGTCCCTGTGGCTTTCTGCATGGTGACTCGGTCAGTGCTTGGTTCCTCTCTGTAGTGGAATGCGCAACCGCCGAGGTGCTGTCTGTCTCTCTGCTTGAATGTTTCTTTGGAATGGACACGTAGACGGTGCCACGTTGGGAACATGGACGCGTCTGCTGGACCTCTCTGCAGCCCTGAGTGACTGTTTGAGCGGAGTCGTGGGTCGGATGGAGACTGGCTCTTAGAGCTGCCAACGAGGCCCAGGGGGCCATGCTGTTTGCCGTGCCCACCTGCCATGTGCTGCCGTCCCGAGAAGTGTGCTGCCTCACAGTCCTCATTGCTCTGTGTGGCTGAGGGCCTCCCACAGAGCCCCCTTGCTTTTAGGGGACAATTTCCATTGCTGGGCGTCTTGGCTGCCCGTCGGCAGCTTGCGGACCCTGTGTGCTGCCCGCCGGGACAGAAGCCGAGAGCTTCCCATCTGTCATTGCGATTGGGCCTGAGGGCTTCCACCAGCTTAGCAAGAGCAGCTTGTCTGCCAAGTTCACCTGTGTGAAGGTGCTGCAGCTCTTGGGAACAGAAGCCTCAGGCTGACCTTCCATGTGCTGATGTGGCAGGGACAGACCCTGGGCAGTCCCCGCCAGCTGCGCCTTCTTCCTGTCCACCCGGTGCTCACCGTGCACGGGCCAGCCTCGGTGGGGACATCCCCTTGGTCCGTGGCCTCTGGTCTGGCTGAGCAGCTGTTTGGCCCAGGGTCGGCCGGGCTGGCTAGTGGCAGGGGTCAGCTCGCCAGAGCACGGATGGCCTTGGTACCACAGCTGGACAAGACGGGGAGTTTCCTGGTCGGTGCCCGCGGTCCTGGCCTTCCGTCCAGTAGCTTTGTACCCTCTGGGCCTCTTGCTGCCCTTTGGCCTCTGGGGGCATCCGGGCGGCTGGGGAAGCTGTCACTGGTTTTGGTGGATGTTCCCTGGTGGTGAACGGCAGAGAGCATCTTTCCCTGCGTCCGCCATCTGCGCCTGTGGAGGAGTGTCCCTTCCGTCTGCCCGTGGTGTGGCTCAGCTGTGTCTGGAGTTGGAAGACAGTTGCTGTGTCAGGTGGTGGCTGTGCAGAGATGTGTACTCCCAGCTTAGCGTTTTTCCTTGACATACACGAGGGTTTAGTTCTGGTGGAGCCCAATCTCCATGTTCCTGCTTGGTTCCCTGCAGCACTGAGCCCACAGCCATGGGGCTGTTCCCGCAGGAGGGCTTTTATGTTCGGCTTCCCGGAGCGAAGTCTGCCCTCCCACGTTGGTGTGCGGTGGGCCGTGTGTCCCGGGACCCCTTGCGGAGGAGCGTGCCCTCTGCACCATGTGGTCTTGGATTCACATGTCAGTTGACAGTCAGGCATTGTGCCTTATCCTGGTCCCCTCAGGCCGTGCCACACTGTTGCCCAGACCACTGTACTGCACGTCGGGACACGCCCCCTGTGCGACTTAAAACCACCTTACAGACTGGTGGTGGCACTTTGGAAGTGCTGCCCACACATCACTGGGCGAGGCTGGCTCGTGAGCGTGGGCTTCCCTGCAGGAGTGCCTGGTGGGGCCTGCACATCACTGGGTGAGGCTCGTGGGCGCGGGCTGCCCTGCAGGAGTGCCTGGTGGGGTCTTTAGATGCTGCTGAGTGCTCGGTGGACGTGAGAGCGCTGTGTGAGGTGGACAGAGCTCGAGGTCTTTTCCCGTGGACTTGGCAGTGATGGGGGAGGAGGCGGGAGGTTAGACTTAGATGGTGTTCGGATCCCAGCTGCAGTGGACCACTCCCAGGGACTCAGGCTGCTGCTAGGGCAGGAGGTGCCTGCTGCTTCTGAAAAGGGCAGGTTCAGGTGCTTTGGGCTTGTCCTGTGGTGTTCCTAGAAGGAGATGCTCCAAGCTGTGCTCAAGGCCCACTCCGAGCACTGGGTTTTCCGAGTGACGTCAGAGAAAAGAGTGCAGTCCCACTGGCGCTCCAGGAGCCCCCTGGACAGGAGTGGGCACACCCAAGGAGGCTGCCTGTCGCCTTGGGCAGTGTGAGCTGCAGGCTGTGGGGGAGCTGTGTGGATGGGCTGTGGGGCCCTCAGATGGCAGGGCAGGGCGGTGTGGACAGGCAGGACGGTATGGACAGGCAGGGCCGTGTGGATGGGCCGCGGGGCCCTCGGATGGCAGGGCGGTGTGGACAGGCAGGGCCGTGTGGATGGGCCGCGGGGCCCTCGGATGGCAGGGCGGTGTGGACAGGCAGGGCGGTGTGGATGGGCCGCGGGGGCCCTCGGACGCTGGCTGTATGGCCTTGTGTGCCAGCCCTGTGAAGGCTTGGGAGACCAGTGTGTTGGGGGAAGGGCTCTGGCCGCTGTGGGAGGGGCAGCAGCAAACAGGTCAGCCGGAAGCAGAAGGAATTAAAAAGTAACAGGGAAAGAGTGCAGGGGGCAGGAAGAGAGCCTGGCGTGCCGGCGTGGGGCTGGCGCCAGGAGGAGCGCGGCGGCAGGACACTCAGCTGCGTTACAGAACATAGAGCCCAGGAGGCGTTTGGGGGCGAGCACGGTCGCTTGGAAACAGGCTGACATAGTCTCCTTTGGGTGTTGAAGGTCCTAGGTGGGGACTTAGGAATGGCCAATATGTCAGGCGTGTGCAGCTGCCGCCTGCAGCACTGTGGGCGTGGCTGGACGCGGGGAGGTGCTTGCGGAGGAGAAGGCCTGCCCACGGTCTGCACACGCCCAGAAGCAGGCCTGGGCCGCGCAGACCCGGCTGCCTAGCCAGTTGAGCTGGGCCTGCTCTGGGGAAGGGAGGCGTAGGGGCGCCTGGAGTCCCAGCCCTGACACGGGGAGGTCGGTCACGGGCGGGCGTTGAGCAGCAGCTGTGAGCGCTGGAGCTGGCCGCGCCCCACCAGCGTTGGTGGGCTCCTGTCCCTGGGCTGTCAGGCAGCTTTCCGTGTGCTTCATGACTCAGATGGGGTTCACTGTCTTGGGGTGATAGATGGCTGCTTGCTGTTTCAAATCCATTCTTCCGGAGGGTTCCATTGGCCCCGAATCTGTCTCTGAGGCAGGCAGAGCTGCTCGGATCCTGCACCATCCCTGCGCCGTTCTTGTCTGGTTCTGCCCGTGGGCTGCAATGCTGGCCGGCACATAGTGTGGGTCTTGGCTGCAAGTGGTGGTCGTGTGTGTGTGTAAATGCCTGTTCTGACTGTATGTGAGAGAGAGGATGCCTGTTCTGAGTGTGTGCTTGTGTGTGAGAATGCCTATGCTGGCCTGTGTGTGTGTACGTGAACTCCTGTGCTGGGGTGTGTGTATGTGTGTGCATGCCTGTGCTGGCCTCTGTGTGTGTGTGTGAACATGAATGCCTGACCTGGCCTCTGTGTGTGTGTGTGTGTGTGTGTGTGTGTGTGTGTGTACGTGAACTCCTGTGCTGGGGTGTGTGTGTGTGTGTGCACGCCTGGCCTTGATACCTCCTGGTCCTGAAGAAGAGGCTTGGGGCGGAAGGCCTCCTAGCTGTGCAAGAGGGAAAGTCAGAGTTGCTTTGGTTTTTATTTTTTAAATAATCTCCTCCTTTGTAAGAAGAAGGATTTGTTCACCTGAAAGGCAGTGTGATAGAGCCAAGTGTTCCATCCACCTTGGGGTCCCCCCGAGGCCTCGTCGGCGCTGAGCCCGAGCTGCCTCATCTGCTGCCGCATCACAAGGGCTGCTGGGGTCGCAGGCGGTCAGCCACGCGCTGTGTGATGTCAGCGCCCGGGCTCTAACGTCCGGCTCAGTGCAAAACCGCAGCATCTGCTCTAGTCACACGTGGGTTAGGATAACTGCTCAGCTGGCTTTGGAGCCAGGTTAATATTGAATCATTGCTGCTTGGTTGAGGGAGTTTTTGAGAAAGTACTTTATTATACTTGGAGAAGAACTCTGCTTAAGATGAGAGGCTTCTGGAAATGTCTTAAGTTGTAAGTACAACAACGCCATTTTCCAATTTTAAATGTATAGTTCCTTGTCTCCTGGCTTTTATCTGCTGCTTGCAGCTCATTAAATCCCTCCTCAGTCAGTCAGCACAGAGGCTCAGAGCCTTGCTTCACTCTGTCCTCCAAGATCTGTTGCAGAAACACTTGAACTGCGGCCTTGAGGCGCAGGTGCTGCTCCTTCTGGGAGCTGCCAGCAGCTCGGCCGCCTGCAGGCGCTGTGGCTTTGTGGGGGGGCTCCGCTGCTGCACTCGGCACCAGGCTGGGGAGGGGTGGTCGCGGCTCTGCCTGCTCTGCTCCCAAGCCGCCCCCATCCGGGTGTCTGACCCAGCTACCCGTGGTTTGAATGTGACCCTGCGATTTGTTATGTAACCATACAACGGGTGTGTTTGACCTCGACCTTGGGCCTGGTTGCCGACTTAGCCAGTTGTGGTGGAGCAGGACGCTTGCCCTGGTGAGATCTGAGCGTGTTAAGGCACGCTGGTGTTCCGTGTAGCTGGCCTTCTCTGGAAACACTTGGGGGCCGGGGGCAGTTTCTGGCCATGAGGTCTGACCAGAGTGTTGCATCTCCCCATCTTGACAAGCTGTGGGAGGCACCTCAGGAGCTGGTCAGGTGTGAGATAGATTGGATTATTGTACTGTCTTTGAAAGGCTTTTATATTTCTCCTAGGGTTCAAGGTTGCTGAATGGTTTATGAATTTGTGTGTTATGAATGGCTTTTCCAAGTGACTAGATGAAGGTTCTGTTTTGTAATGAACCAAGCCTGAGAAAGATCTGCACAGGTTGAAAACTCACCATGGCTTGTGTGTGCAGGCAAGCTGATGTGCCTGTGTGTGTGGAGGTGTGCCTGTATGCAGGAGTGCCTGCGTGTGTGCAGGTGTGCCTGTGTGTGTGTGCCAGTGTGCCTGTGTGTGCAGGTGTTCCTGTGTGTGTGCAGGAGTGCCTGCGTGTGTGCAGGTGTGCCTGTGTGTGCCAGTGTGCCTGTGTGTGCAGGTGTGCCTGTGTGTGTGCGCCAGTGTGCCTGTGTGTGCCGGTGTGCCTGTGTGCCTGTGTGTGCAGGTGTGCCTGTGTGTGTGCCAGTGTGCCTGTGTGTGCCGGTGTGCCTGTGTGTGCCAGTGTGCCTGTGTGTGCAGGTGTTCCTGTGTGTGTGTGCAGGTGTTCCTGCGTGTGTGCACAGGTGTGGCTGTGTGTGCAGGTGTATGAGCTAATGGAGGTGTGTGTGTGCATGTATATGTGTGAACACGTGTATGAGTGTGTGCATGTGTGTGCATGTGGTGTGGGGCTGTGGGCCTACACAGGCGTGGGTTTGATGTGTACCTGAGCTGTGTGTCTGCATGCAGGGCAGTGTGCTTGCTTGCGCAGGCGTGGATGGCTTCAAGCCTTAGGAAACCTGCTTCTGCTTTTTGAGCATCCCACCAGCAAGGACTTCAGCTCTCTTCTCCCAAGTCCCCATCCTCTGACCATCTCTCAGTTCTAACCTGAGAATATGTCCGTTTTTAAAAACCGGTGTATTATTAACTTCCTGTAACATTTGGCTTCTAAGTGTTAAGCAGATGCTTTGGTTTAGGGCTCGGAATAACGACTGGTGTTTGTTGTCTATACCTGTGCGGTTTTGTAGATGCCGTTTTCACCTTGAATGCAGAGAGCGCTAACTATGACGACCCAGTCCCAAACTTGCACACGTGTGAGATCTGTCTACAGACTTTCCCCAGAGAGTCCCAGTTCCAGCGCCACATGCGGGGGCACGAGCCGCATGACAAGGTACGTACCGTCGCAGGGGAGCCCGGCTGTGCCCTCGCGTCCGAGTCCTGCTCCCAGGCGGCCGTGGTGTGTGTCACGCTGGAGAAGGCACGGGGCACTTTCTGCCTGCTTGTGAGTGCATGTGCTAAGGGAATCTGCTTCCTTGCCAGAGTGTGGCATGGGTGTGCTGTGAGGTGGCTTTCTCCAGCGGGGAGCTTTGCCCTGAAGTGGTCTGGCCTGTGCGGTGGTGGCTGTGTGCAGATGTGGCCAGCAGGGTGCAGCAGGACTGTAAACAGATGTTTGAGCCCTTGCAGGGTCCTTGGGACCTCACTCCAGTGTCTTACCGGGATGGTTCGCCTGATGGACAGGAGGTGGCAGTTGAAATGGATGGCTGGCATTTGCCTGACTTGCCTGCATGTTCTAGCTCTAAGTGCGCAGTGCCAGGACCCAGCCATGGGCGGCGACCTCCCATCCTGGGAATCCCCAGATTTCCACGTGCCCACTGGCTGCTGGCAGGCTCACTCTGGGAAGATCCCTGCCAGTCCAAGATAAGCACTCTGCTTAAATCTAGGAAAGTGTCTCATGAGTTTTGTTGCTAGAGGTGGTTTGGTCTATACACGTGAGTGGGTCAGAAGTCGGACCAGGAGTGTCCTGAGTGAGCTGCTGTTGACCGCTGAGTTGGCCACCACCACAACAGCTAAGGTGCCAGCCAGTCTGCGCCTGGCACTCGGCCGGCCCCCGCTGGGCTCTGCTGTGGCCGCGGCCAGCGTGGCCTTGTAGCCCAGGGGGCAGCAGGTGTTTGGGGAGAGGTTCTGTGTGTGCCGCCGGGCTGTGCTTCGCCAGCGATTGTTGGACACACGTGTGTGGGACGGTTTACCTCAGGGCTTCTTCACTTTTCTCTCCAAATAGCCACATCGCTGTGACCAGTGTCCCCAAACATTCAATGTTGAATTCAACCTGACACTGCACAAATGCACCCACAGTGGGGACGACCCCGCCTGCCCTGTGTGTAACAAGAAGTTCTCCAGAGTGGCTAGTCTCAAGGCGCACATGCTGCTGCACGAGAAGGACGAGGTACCGTGACCGTTCCCTGTGCTCTGTCGTGGCGTGCCGCCTGGGCTCCGCGGGCTGGGAGCCGTCCGCCAGCATGGGATGCCTGGGCTCCGCGGGCTGGGAGCCATCCGCCAGCGTCGGGTGCCTCGCATACACGTTGCAGGGACCCCGTTACCACGTAGCTCGGTTTGCCCCCACTGATCTCTAGTTTTCCAGTACGTTTTACTTTGTGGCTCTGTCAGTAGCTCAGCGTGGAGGCATTTTCAGGATAGTGTGCTGGAAGGTCCGTGTGTGTCCTCAGGTGGCAGGCCTCCCGTGTCCCAGCATAGCCTCTGCTCCCCTGCTGCTGTGCCTGCGAGCTGACTCGAGTGCTCGGGCCCCTGCGGCCGTGGGGTGACCCTGGGGAGGCCTGTGCAGCCCTGGCTCTTGTGGCCATCTGGGGGCAAATGGAAGACCTCCTTATCTCTCATCCTCCCTGTCAGTCTGCCTTTCAGATAAATAATAAATACATACTTTAAAATAAAAAACATCCAGGTAGCAGAGGCTGCTCCTGTTTCTACCTCTCCTTTAAAACGCCTCTTCAAAATTTATTTTCTGTATTAGAAGGAAGTAGACAGAGAAAGATCTCACATCTGGTGGTTGACTCCTCAAAGGTTCATGACAGCCAGGACAGCCAGGACAGCCAGGACAGCCAGGACAGCCAGGACAGCCAGGAGGGAGCCACGCGCTCGGCCCAGGGCTCCATGTGGGTAACAGTGCTGCAGCTGCTGGAGGTGTAACCCACTGTCTTCCAAGATGTGTGTTAGCAGGAAGCTAGGATTGAGAGCAGAACCAGGCGTGGGACTGGGATAATGCACCCTGCAGGCGGCCTGTGTGGCGTCTTGATTGTTACCCCAGAGGCCACCCCTCCACACCCCCTGTTCACCCAGAAGGGAGCCTTTGCAGGATTCCACAGTGGCTCCCCCCATGGTGATGGGGGAACCCTCCCTCGGTTTGTGGGAAGTGGGGGCAGAGAAGGCATGGGAGGCCATAGCATGGTGCTGGGCAGCGTGGGAATGCAGGCACTGCTGTGGGGTGGGAGTGGCTGTTGGCTGCACCATGCCCAGCCTTCCTGCTTCCCATACCAGATGCTTCTTATAAAGAAGACAGGAGAAGGGGGAGGAGGAGTGAAAGCCACCTCTGGTTCCAAGGTGATCGCTGATCATGTTTGGCATGTTTTCTTGTGCAACAGAAAAGCATATACAGTCTTCCCATTGCACAGATAACACTAAAGCCCAGGGTCGGGTCGTGTTTTCTGGGTAGGTTGCATCCTCTTTTTTGAGTGCCTTTATTTTTGTTGTTAAGTCATGTCGTTTGTGTGTGTATACACATGTGTACTTTGGAAGGAGGTAGAGTCAAGACTCAGCAGGAGGTGCCTGCACTGGAGGCAAAGTGTAAGGGCCGTCACTGCCCAGGCTGCAGTGAGGCTGGCCGGTGAGACGGGGCTCCAGGCCTGGGATTCGGGTCGGCGGGAGGAGGGCAGCGGGAGCCCATCCGTGTGTAGGGACTTGTCACCACTGGCTGTGAAGCGCCACCCCAGACCCATGAACAAGACCTGTCCATGTGTTAGTCACGGAACTTTTTCTTTGAATGTGTACATAGCCAACAGCCTCTGTAATCACCCCGTTTGGAGAAAGTGCATGGATTCTTTCTGACCTTTTGTCGATCCTTGCCTTCCGTGTTCACTTTACAAACTTCCCATGATTGTTACTAATCTGCTTTTCCTCTCTTATTAAGTCTGAGTGCCTTCCTCTACCCAGAAGTTGTTGCTTTATGAAAGTGCTTAGTACTTTTCTTTCTTGTTCAACCTTGAAATTGTTCCTATATTGTCCATCTTAGACATGATAATTCAAGCACATTTGTACTTCTTGAACATTTCGTTAGGGTAGATTCTTGCAGTTGTGTTAGCAGGTGAGGCTTCCTCACGTGTTTGCAGGGTGCCACCTTGGGTCCCAGGAGATGCGTGTCGCTGCGCACCGGAGCTCTGGAGCCACGTGGCTCTTCAGACGTGACTGCACTTTTCGGGATAGTGCGCTTGCGGGAAGTGGCAGAGCTCGCCTGGTTCGCTGTGACTGCTGGTGTGCGGGCACCCGGTCCCCAGGGCAGCCTCTGCCAGCATGCCGAGCTGCCCAGGCTGCCAGCAGGGTTTTCAGTGTCCTCCACGGTGACCCCTCAGTGAAGCCAACCCGTGGTGCCTGCTGCCTTCTCTCTTCAGAACACTAGGGGTCGCCAGGCCAGCTCCTCTGATGAACAGGTGCTGTGGTGCTTAAGGGGGTGCCCTCCTAGAGCTGTGAGGAGCACTTTGCACCCCAAAGCGAAGGGACTGGCCCGGAAGTCAGGAGTGTTGAGGCTGGGGACACCTGTGCTATCACTGGGTCGTTCATCTCTGGAGATGGAATTGTTGGGACAGAATGTACGAATTTACAACTTTAATGTTTGTTATTGAATTGTTCTCCAGAGTTCATGTGCTTGTCCTGCAGTCAGTGGGTGGTGGCAGGGAGTGCCCAGGCCTCATTTGCAGTATGCTCTGTTGTAAAACTCGTCTTCCAATTTGAGTAGTCAGTTGATATGTTTTTGCTGTTTTACATTTGTTTGACTGAAACTCACATCTTTCTCTGTTTTTTTTTTTACTTATTAATGTTTTTCTGTCTTATTTTCTTTGTTCTTTCCTAAGACAGATTTATTTGTTTGAAAGGTATGGTTATTCTGGATTCAGGGAGGGTGGAAACAGAGAATTTTCTGTCTGCTGATTCACTCCCCAGATGACCAGAGCAGGCAAGCTTAGGCAAGGCCGGAGCTGCGGGCTGGGCAGTCCTGGAGCTGTCTTCCGCTGCTCCCAGGGTGTTAGCATGAAGCCGAGTCTGGAGCCCCGGCACTGACATCTGGACAGGAGGCCACCGCTCCCCCTCCGTCTGTGCGTGTAGAGGGGCGGAGGGGCAGGGCTCCCACGTCTGCTCTGCACGCGCCTGCAGTGGTCAGGACTGGGCCAAGAGGCTTTCCTGTGAGACTAAGCCTCTCAAATGCACGCAGATGTTCAGTCTGCTCATTCGTAACTTATGATTCTTGTGACTTGGTTAGAATTACTTCCTGCTTCTAAAATTAGGTAAGAAGTCTCCCGTACCTAGTGCGGAGCCCGATATCCAGCTTTAGAATCATAAGGTACTGTAGTGTCTGTGTGTCTCTGGTCCCTCCTGGAAGGGCCCTTCCCTGCAGGACCCGGATGCCCCTGTTACACCCAGCTTCCCAGGGTCGCTCCTGATGCAGGGCCTGGCCTCCCCTGGAGCACCCAGCTTCCCAGGGTCGCTCCTGATGCAGGGCCTGGCCTCCCCTGGAGCACCCAGCTTCCCAGGGTCGCTCCTGATGCAGGGCCTAGCTTCCCTTGGAGCACCCAGCTTCCCAGGTACTGCCCCCTTGCATACCTCCTCAGTGCCTCCATGCTTGAGTTCTTGGCTGCTCACCTCCAGTCACACAGCATTCAGGACTGGCCTGAAGAAGGTGTTCCTGCTTACCTGTCTTTCTCTTTGTCCAGGTTGCCTCTGCTCAGCCTTGGACTCCCTTTCTAGGCTTGAAAGCCCCTGCCCCTGTGCTGATCAGGTTACTGGGGCCCCAGGGGGAGTCTGGGTGCAGTAGGTTTGCAGGCTGGGTGTTCAATGTTTGTCAAGGTTTGGGGATGAACTGCAGAAGGTCCCCACAGTCCATCTGTGCTTTGATGCGTTGTCTTGGTCACAATTTGCAAAAGTCCATTCCTCTTCTCTGGCATTTTACCCATGAACTTCAGAATTCCGTGTAGCTTTTTAGGAAGTGTTTTGTTTGTTTTGATTGTGTTACATTTGATTGTCTTGGAGAGGAGTCTGGTGTGCGAGTCTTTGGGAGCTTTGTGCTCAAGCCTCACCTGGTAATATTTGTTACTGCATGTTTGCACACCAATTCAGTGTGCTTTCAAGTGGGTTGAGGTTGGTCCTGGCGTCACCAGGGGTCTCCCAGTGGCTGTCCCTTGTTAGCAGGAAGGAATGCTTTTGTATCTGAACTTTCCTGATGCCCTTCCTACCAGATCCTCTTGGGTGTTCCGGGTGCACAGCTCAGCCACAGACGGTAACTGGGGATCCGTGTGGTGTCCCATGTTCAGGCGGCCCCTTGACGTCAGCCTTCATTGTCCGCATCCATAGTGAGGGCGCACTCCTCAATTCTATCAGGAAACATTTCTAACTTCAGAATTTCAAAAATATTTGTACAGCTTATTTTAAAATGATTTATTTTTAACTTTATTTATCTGTAACTCTGTCAGAGTTACAGAGCAAGAGGGAGAGACAGAGAGAGATTGTCTGTATATTGGTTCATTCCTCAAATGGCTACAATAGCGGGGGCTGGGCCAGTCAAGCCAGAAGCCAGGCGCTCTCCTCGGAGTGCAGGGAGGGCCTGGGTGGTACTGACCTTTCCCATGGAACCTGGCCTCGGGCGGGACTGAGGTCCTCCTGCCTTGGTTTCCTCTATGACAGGAGTGCGTTGCTCTGTCTTCAGACACATGGGGTGACCTGGGAGCCAGAGCCAGACATGTGTGGGGGGCTCTTCTATAACTGGGGAGCAGAGCCACTTGGGGCAGCAAGCGGGGATTGGCCAGGGCATAGTTTCCTTGTGCTGGCCGTGGAGTGAAAGCTGGGGTTTCCTGCCCTGCTGGTGGGTTTTCAGCTTGGATTGTGGGTGACGTAGGCTGGGGAGGGGCCCATGAGTTAGAAGGAAGGATGGAACAGCCCTGCTATCAGGCCGGGAGGAGCTGGAGGGCCCCGAGACGGCTTGGGTCGTCTTCCTGCTCTGAATGATTGGGGTGCTCCCGGTGCTGTGTGCGGCCCAGCCCTCTGCAGGGGTGTCCATGCTGGCCTGCTTTCTGCTCTCAGGTGGCTGTGGGGCACCTCAGCTCCCAGGCTGGCTTGCCCGGATGTGCCTGGTAGTCATTTCCAGAAGCCTGCAGCTTCCTCATGGCATTTTCAGGATTTTCTCTTCATTATGTTTTCTCCTTCCCAGATTTTGTGTGAGTTCCCTTCTGGATCATTCTCTGAATGGAGCTCACAGTGCTGTTCACGTCCCTGCTTGGGGCCCTCTTTTTGCTGCCGTGTGCGGGGGACAGTGTGCCATGCCAGGCCCTCAGTCTCAGTGTGTGTGGGCTGTGGTTGAGTGTGTGTGCTCACATCTGTGCCATCTGTGAGTGACAGAATAGCTGTCAGTGGCTGTTCTTGGCTGCTCTGCTGAGATGAACAGCCTGAAGCCCACAGTGGCCGCCAGTCCGCTGGAGCCACTCTGGAGCCAGAGCGGTAAGTGGTTTGTAAACATGCGCCTAGGACTGGGTACCTTCCAGGGCTGTCAGGCAGCCCGCTCGTACTCCCAGACCCCCCCTGCCTCCCTCTTGCTCATGACAGATGGCCAGTGGTGTCCCCAGGCCTGTGGCTGTGAGGGCAGGGTGGGCTCTCTGGCACAGTGCCAGGCTCTTCCTGAACCAAGTCTTGTCTGAGGTCCACAGAGGCCAGCAGCTTCCAGAATCTTTGGGTAGGTCCTGGCATGGTGAAAGACTGCAGAGAAGGGGGAAGTGGCCTGGGGGCACTTTGCCCTCACACTCTGTTGGCATTGGAGAGGTGAGCTCGTCTCGGACGGGGTGGAGATGGAGGTGGAAGAAAACGCTGGGCCTTTCCCACGGTGCTTTCTCCTGGTGGGGCTGGACCTGAGGATTGCTTCTGCTGCCCAGGAAGAGGCCCTTCCTGCAATGTAACTTGCTCAAGGCCCCAGGATTGCCACGGTGTGCGTGAGCCTGGGTGTGCCCGCAGCCCAGGCAGGTGCATCCTGGCTCCCCGTGGGCAGAAAGAGCTTTCCCAGGGGTGACATCTTGGCTTGGCCTGAGGGCTGGGGGCGGACTGCATTCTGTTTCCAGGTTGCAAGGTGTCTGTGCTTTGTTAACCCGTGGTCACATGGCAATGAAGTAAGGACTCGGCAGTCGGGAAGGGCCGGAGCAGCGGGCACAGGGGCTGTGAGGGTTGGTCCTGGCCTGTCGTTTTCCGAGGAGAGCTGTGTCGGGAGTGGTTGGTGATCTTCCAAATCCACATTCAAAACACGTTCTGGACGGCGGGGGTCATAGGCTCACCTCTGTTGGTTGTTTATTTTGAAGAAGTGCTGCACATTTTGGTACCTCCATTTTTTCCTTTTGTGAGTTTCCTAGAAGAAAGTTCCTGTGTCAGCGGGCTGTACACAATCAAGGGGTTCATGGTTTCCTCAGATGATGACAAGGCAACAGCTCCCGTTCCCCATGCCTGAAGTTGCATACGGACTGCATGCACCATGTGCTGTGGCTGGGAGGCTGGCACACACACTGTGGTCAGCAAGTGTCGCTGGGAGAACGTCCAAGGGGCCAGGACTCTGTGGTGTGCAGACAGCAGGCCATGTCCGCTGTGGGCACTGCAGGGGACCCTGCTGGGTGAGCTGACCGCAGCCTGTGGGGGTCACTCACTGCATCTGACGGACGTAGCTATGGAGCACTGGGTGTGTGTTGTTTGCTCTTGACTTGGGCCTCGGGATTCAGCTTTGTGGCATCGGGAAGACAGAGGCTGCTGGTCCCCGTGTTGCAGGGCAGGTGATGGGGCAGGACAGGTGTGTACCAGCGTCAGTTACTGCCATGGAATTTGAGTGACGTTAACCTTCCAGGAGCCATGTGAAGAACAGCAAAACACAGGAGGAGAACCAAACAAGGAGAGGCGTTTTAGCAATATAAGTTGATTATTAAAAAATATCCAAAGTGTTACGGCGGCATGTATGGAAGGTTCTCTGGGATTCTGTGTTGTCTCTTTTGGCCCTGTGCTCGTGGCTGCCAGTGGCCACCACACTCAGCCTGACTTGTCCTCACACCTGGGCAGAGGTGTAACCCACTCCATTGCAAAACTGAGATGAAAGAATTCCACCTACTTCAGAGTGGGAGCTGACTTTTTGTTTAAAAGGGGTCTGCTGGGCCTGGTGTGGGTCCATTGCTATGGGCGCCGGTTCTAATCCCATCTGACCCTCTTCCCATCCAGCTCCCTGCTTGTGGCCTGGGAAAGCAGTGGAGGACGGCCCAAAGCCTTGGGACGCTGCACCTACATGGGAGACCTGGAGGAGGCTCCAGGCTCCTGTCTTCGGACCGGCTCAGCTCCGGCTATTGCGGCCACTTGGGGAGTGAATCAATGGATTAAAGATCTTCCTGTCCATCTCTTCTCCTCTCTGTATGTCTGACTTTCCAACAAAAAATAAAATGAATCTTTAAAAATAAATGAAAGGGGCCTGTTAGACTGTAACCCTTTAAAAATAAATGAAAGGGGCCTGTTAGAGTGTAACCTGGCATCAGAGGCGGCATCCTTGTGGAGCAGGTGGACTGAGTGCCAGTTACCCAGCAGCCCGTCAGAACCTGCCTTGCTCACACCATGTTGCCCTCTTCCCGACGTTTCTGTCTGCTCTCCCAATGAGGAACTCCCACGTGCATGTGGTGACTGGTTGGGGTCTGGGCCGTGAGCAGTGCCAGGTCTCCTGAGAAGTGCTGCTTGGGAGATGCCCGCCCTGCTCACCTGTGGCGTTTTCCTTTGCAGAACCTGCTGTGTCCCGAGTGTGGGGACGAGTTCGCGCTGCAGAGCCAGCTGGCCGTGCACATGGAGGCGCACCGGCAGGAACTGGCCGGGGCCCGGCCGCACACGTGCAAGGCCTGCAAGAAGGAGTTCGGGGCCTTGTCAGAGCTCAAGGAGCACATGAAGACTCACTGTAAGATCAGGTACGCGTCGTCGTGGAGCTCGGGGGCTCCTGGATCGTGGAGGAGCCGGGGCCTGCCCGCAGCCAGCCATGTGAAGGGCTTCTCTGCTGTAGCAGCAGGGAGCCACACGGCCGATGCGAGCCAGCATGGCTCTGCCCGTGTGGTTCCTGGGTTCAGGAAGAAGAGATGGAGGTGCTGGGCCGAGTGGGCAGTGTGGGCCGCTGGCATGGCCACGGGAGCCGCACACACGGCGTTGGCTGTTCGTTCTGGGAGCTGGCCAGGTGTGTGAAGGGGCCTTTGATGACACTCGCTCGAGAACGTGTGTGTGCCAGGCACATGTATCCGCCTCCCTGAGCCCTCACACAGTCCTGTGAGGCTAGCGTGTTTTTGTGCCCATGTGCAGGAGAGAGAACCGAGCAGAGCCTGTGTTCATCCCTGACGCTGCACACCTGGTCATTCAGCAGGCTGAGCAGAGCGTGCCTTCTCAAGGCCGCACTGCCCGGGAGTCCCAGGGCGTGTGTGCTCCCAGGCAGAGTATGTGTCTCGCCTCCTCCTGGTCCCTCTGTGCAGGTCAGTGAATGGTGACCACCATTCATCACACCTTCGGAAGCATTTTGACCAGCACTCTCGGACTGCCTGTGTCAGCTGTCCTGTGGCTGTCCTGCATGGGCACTGAAGGCAAGGTCCCGCGCCAGGGAATAGGTGCAGCTGGGACGCGCTGGCAGGTGCAGTGGGCCAACCCCGCCCGACTGAGCAGCTGGCTCTTGGCTGCCTGTGGCTGACCCCTTGTCACTGTGGAACCTTTGGGTTGGTAGTACTCCGTGCACGCAGAGTTTTGCTACAGCCTTGCCTTTACGTCCAGTGAGACCCCGGGTACCCAAGTCAGCTGGCTTGGGCTTAGTTTACATAGGAATTTACTGGTCATCTGGTTTAAGATTGTAACAAACACAAATGTAATGCCTATATGGCTTTTTAAATTTTTCTTATTCTGTTTTTAAGAAATGTTTAATTAGCATGTAGCACTTGGATATGCCGAATGAGGCAGCCATGCTAGGCAGCCAGCCCTCCCCCTGTGTGGCGTTGCGGGGCCGGCAGCCTGCAGTCCGTCCAGCCCTCCCCCCGTGTGGCGTTGCAGGGCCGGCAGCCTGCAGTCCGTCCAGCCCTCCCCCTGTGTGGCGTTGCGGGGCCGGCAACCTGCAGTCCGTCCAGCCCTCCCCCTGTGTGGCGTTGCGGGGCCGGCAGCCTGCAGTCCGTCCAGCCCTCCCCCCGTGTGGCGTTGCGGGGCCGGCAGCCTGCAGTCCGTCCAGCCCTCCCCCCGTGTGGCGTTGCGGGGCCGGCAGCCTGCCGTCCGTCCAGCCCTCCCCCTGTGTGGCGTTGCGGGGCCGGCAGCCTGCAGTCCGTCCAGCCCTCCCCCTGTGTGGCGTTGCAGGGCCGGCAGCCTGCCGCTCCCTCTCCTGCAGCACGTGGGCTTAAGCCGAGTTGCCCATGTGCTGCTGAGGGCTGCAGTGTGTTACGGCTTCTTTTCCGCCTCTAAATATTTTTTTGTCTGCGGGGAAGGCACAGCGGCCCAGAGGGAAGGATATCCATTGGTTCATTTCCCACATGCCTGCAACAGCCCGGGCTGTCAGATGGGACCCCGTCCAGACCTTCCATATGGGTAGCGGGAACTCGGTACTTGGGCCATCTCTCAGTGGCTTCACCGCAGGGTCAGCACGGAGAAGCCCTCTGCCAGGGGATGTGGGTACCCCAGCAGTGGTGCCACAGTGCCTGCCCCTCAAAGTGACAGCAGTGGCCAGAGCTGAGCAGGGTTGAAGCTGGAACCCGGGAGCTTGCTGAGGAGTCCCACATGGATGCAGGCCCGGGTGCTGGGGCCGCTCCCTACTGCTCCCTCAGGTATATGAGCAGAGGCTGCACCCACAGCCAAGCAGCGGGGATACACAGCAGGATCTGGTGGGCTGCTGGCACTGCAGGTGGCAGCTTTCCCCACGGTGCCACACCACCCACCCTCCTTCCACCTTCCTAGGCTCTGGTCTTTGCTGTTCTAAGTTCACATAGATTGATGTTTTATTTTTTTGACTCCCACATGGGAAAGAGAACATACAGTGTTTTTGTGGTCTGTGTCCGGCTTGTTTCGCTCAACATGACAACTTGCAGTTCTGTGCGCTCTTGCTGATGGCAGGATTTCATTGTTGGTGAGGCTGAGTGATTCTCCCTTGCACTGTCGCCCCCCTGCACCTCCTAGCGATCCCTGGGCTGCCTGTGCGCCTGTGACACGCGTGGGTGCAGTCACACGCGTGCAAGGGCACAGGTCTCTGAGGCACTGTAACCAGCAGCCTGTGCCCCCCGACCCTCTCAGCACCACGGTCCGCATCCCCCAAGTTGCTGCGGGGTCCCCTCGTCGCCATGTCCTCGCCAGCCCTGACGGTTTCTCCTCGGTGAGGTGACTCCTCGCCTCTGGTTCTGCCTTGGTGATGGTCAGTGGTGTTGCGCGTGATTGCACGGGTGTGGAGGCTTGTGTTTCTGAGAGCTGTCCGTGTTCTTCAGCTGGACGGCTTTTGATGAGGTTCCTGACTTCCTTAGGGTCTGGGCAGAGGTTTCCTTCCATTCTGTCAGCTGTGTTCTCTGCATTGGCTCTGAGGTTCCAGCTGATCCCGTCTGTCTGCTTCCGCTTTTGCAGCCTGTGCCTGAGGCTCTGACCAGGAAAGCCTGCGGCCGCTGCTGCTGTCTCCAGGCAGTCCTCCTGTGGTGTTAGAGCTCGTACTTAGGCCTTGGATCCCTTGGAGTGGTTTTGTATAGGGTGAGAGGTGGGGAAAGGCCCCCTCTTTCCTTTTGAGTGTGGGGTCCAGTTTCTCCAGGGCTGTGTACTGAAGAGACCCTACTGGGTCCAGTGTTTGTCCTCGGCTCCTCTGCTGGCTGTGGGTGCATGGATTAATTTTTGAGGTCTGTGCTGGCCCGTTGGCTCCTGGGTCTGTTTTCAAGCCAGTGCCACAGTGGTTACTGTCTCTGTAGTGTGGGCAGTCTCAACGTATCTGGAAGACTTTTGAGAGGTGACTGAGGATGTTCAGTTGGTTAAGTTGGTGACCTTCCCAGATTGTCAGATCGACTAGCTGTTTAGTGGGGAGGACAGATGGGGACAGGGCACAGATCTGTGTGACCATGTCAGATCCATCGTGAAGGGGGGTATGCTGGCCATTCCTCGCACAGGGGCCCACTCTTCTGGCGAAAGCAGCATAGGATCAGAGCCTGGCACGGGGTGACATGCTGGCACTGCCTTTGGGAGGCAGGCCATGGCCTGGAGTCCTCAGCAGAGTCTGGGACACACAGGTCCTATGCTGTGTGAAGATCTGTCGGCTGTTGGCTGTTGCTGGGCGAGTTAGGCAGGGAGCCTGTTGGGAAATGATGGTGCAGTGCCAGGGCCAGGACCCACGAGGGCAGATGTGGAGGTGGCACCCAGGACAGGCGCTCACTGTGACAGTGTGAGGAAGAGGCTGGGAAGGAGGGCAGAGGCCAGTGCTGAAGGGCTTGGAGCCACCAGGCCCAGCAGACAGCAGCTGTTCCTTGGAGGCGGTTGTTGGAGGCTCACGGCCAGGTCCTCTCCTGGAGATCCAGCTCACATGAGAGCCGCCGTTGGAGTGACGCCCCTGTGGTCTCCCAGGGCCTGCCCCCGCTCTCCCCCACTGCTTTTCGGCCGGGGAGATCCAAGTTTCTCTTTTCATCAGAATAGAAGAAATGTTTTGTGAAATACAGAGATACAGAGAGAAGGAAAGACAGGCCCTCCATTTGCTGCTCACTCTCCAAATGGCCACTGAGGCCAGAGCTGAGCCAGGCCGCAGCCAGGAGCCAGGAACTTCTTCAGGTCTCCCACGCAGGTGCAGGAACACAAGGACTTGGGCCGTCCTCTGCTGCTTTCCCGGGTGGTATTAGTGGGGAGCTGGGTCAGAAGTGGAGCAGCTGGAACATAAACTGGCATAAACTGGCATCCTGTGGGATGCTGGCAGAGGATTAGCATAGTTCCGTGGTGCCGGGCTAGAATAAATGGGTTTTGTGTTGTGGAGTACACAGCGCTAACACGTGTGCGTACACACACTCCTAGTCGGCTTCGCATGCGCCCGTCCTGCCAGCCTCACGGCCGCGCTTCCTGCTGGATCTGAGCAATGACTGAACGAGCAATGACTTCCCTGTCCTTGCATTGTACCAGGCTGTCAAGTACGAGGTCCTACAATCGCAACATCGACAGAAGTGGCTTCACGTACTCCTGTCCACACTGCGGAAAGACGTTCCAGAAGCCCAGTCAGCTGACTCGGCACATCAGGATCCACACAGGTACGGAGCCTCCCTTCCTATGGGAGGCACTGGATCTCGCCCTGGCTTTGTTTGGGCTGGAAAAGGAGACGATTATGTCTGTCTCTGTCCGAATTGCAAGTGATGTGCATGGCTGGTGCTGTGAGGGAGAGCCTGCAGGCATGGATGTCGCTGTGGGGAGGTGAGGCTTCTGGGTGTTTGCTGTGTGATGCCAGCGCGGTGCGGTCCTCAGCCCATCAGGCCTTGCTGGACAAGACAGCCTGGGTCTTCATGTTGTCCAGTAATTGGTTTTACTACCTGGACTGGAAAGCATGCAGTAATAAAAAGTGTGTTTCTGGGCCTGGTGCAGTAGCCTAGCAGCTAAAGTCCTCGCCTTCCATGCGCCGGGATCCCATATGGGCAGCAGTTCTAATCCTGGTGACCCCACTTCCCATCCAGCTCCCTGCTTGTAGCCAGGGAAAGCAGTGGAGGACAGCCCAAAGCCTTGGGACCCTGTACCACCTGGGGGACCCAGAGGAGGCTCTGGGCTCCTGGTTTTGGATCAGTGCAGCTTCGGCCATTGCGGCCACTTGAGTGATTCAGTGGACAGAGAATCTTCTTCTCTGTCTCTCCTCCTCTCTGCATGTCTGACTTTGCAATGGGAATAAATAAATATTTAAAAAGAAAAAAAAAGTGTTTCTCTGCACTTTGCTCGATCCTTGGTTCTGCCTAGATCTTTCAAAGCTACTTGAGTAGGCACATTGGACTTGCCTGTGCCTTCTCGTAAGCGCTGTTCCCCGCGAGCCTTGTCCTCTGAGTGGGGACGGAGAGGCGCCCAAGGTGCTACCAGGCAAGAAGCTGGGCGGCCCTTGCTTCCCTGTCTCCTGCCGGACGCCTGCCCGGCTCTACCGATGGTGGCTTTGTGTTGGCCATCGCGCCTGTCGGCCCGTTCTCAGCACACCAGCTTCCCGGCATTCCCAGCTCTGGGGTCTTAGGGACCGTGTCAAGGCCGAGTGCTGTGGCGTACGTAGGTGATGGTCCAGGCAGCTCTGAAGAGCCTCGGCTTGCATTCACTCTGTAAGTGGAAAAGAACATTCCATCTGCGATAACGCGTGCTGTGTTTCACCTCACTTTACCCACGTGAGAAGTCAAGGTCTCGTCTCCTGCTAAACCACCACTGCACACACAACACACACGGCCTCAGTGCCTTGCACTCCTGCGCCACTACCTGCCTGGCATCTGGGGTCCACCGTGTGGACCCGTTGTTGCTGCTACCTTAGTCTGGGGTTCCCTGGAATGCTGGGAGGGCCACTCCCCAGCTCCTGGCGGTGCTGCCCAGCCTGCTTCTTCCTCTGCCTGCTGCTTTCAGAGCAGGTGGGCTGGTGGCACCTCCCACGTGTGTTGTGATGCAGCCAGAAGCCTGTGCAAACCGTCGACTGGACATGCTGTGCAGGAATCGCTCCCAGAGCGGCCTCCCTGACAGCTCCGAGTGCACTCCCTACTTCCTGCCCCATTCCTTGCCCCATTCCTGCCAGACACAGGGCCGTTGCCTGTTGGGACCATTTTCCCGAGGATCAGCTCGGCTAAGAACTGTTCAATCTCTTTCTGTTTCTCAGATATTGAAAGTTAGATGAGACAGACTAAAAGAGTGTTGCTGTGGGTTTTAGTCCGGCCTGGCTCTGTCCTGTGACTCTATGAATGCTGAGTCTATGCAACTGACCTGCCTCTGTGGGCACATGCTCTAGCGAGGGCAGAGGGTGCTGTGGTCCGTGGGCAGGAAGCTGGGCATCCTGAGGGAGAGTGCTGTGTTGAGTGGGATGGATTGAACAAGGGTGTGAGGCCCACGAGCCAGGTAACTCCTTCTGGGCAGAGGGCCCAGGAATGGAAACACGCCGCATGTGTCCAGGAGCAGCAAGATGGGTGGGTGGGCAGCTGGGCACAGACCGTGCTTTTCCTCACAGTGGCTGGGAAGGCACGGGAGCGGGCCTGAGACTGTCAGGCATGGGAGTCGATGTGTCAGCTGGCATGGGAACAGCGTGTCGGGGTCCATAGTGCAAGCCGAGGGCATGCTACACCTTGCACCAATGCCACCATAGCCCAGGGGCCCCTGGGTGCTCGAGGGAGGCAGAAAAATCAGAGGTCAGGGTGGCTGCAGGGGTCCCGAGCGGAACCTGGCTAGTGTGGGTTTCTCCTTTCTGATGCATCAGATGTCTGCGTGCTGTGGAAGTGACACTGGCTGCCCTCTCTTGCTGCAGGTGAAAGGCCGTTTAAATGCAGTGAATGTGGAAAAGCTTTCAACCAGAAGGGGGCGCTGCAGACACACATGATCAAGCACACTGGTGAAAAACCCCACGCGTGTGCCTTCTGCCCAGCTGCCTTTTCTCAGAAGGGGAATCTGCAGTCGCACGTGCAGCGAGTCCACTCAGAGGTAACACAGTGCCAGGCCACGCAGCGTGCAGAGTCAGCTGCAAATGCACAAGTGTGTCCTGGGCAGTCCTCAGTTTAGAGCGTGTGTGTGGGAGTCCCTTGGTTTATGATGTGGGCGCGAGGTGGGTACTGCTGCCTCTCAGCTAGGATGGCATTTGGGAAGTAACAGAGCTCTGCAGGCCGCAGCTCAACAGCCTGAGTAACGACTTGGCTTCCTTCAGCGCAGCTGAGGCACATGCACTGTCGAGCTGAGACACTGAGCATCCCGGAACGGACGTGAGGATCCAGCGCTGCTCTGGCGGCCACCTCTGGCGGTCGCTGCAGTGCCTGGCTGTGTCCGGCTTGTACCTCACACTGCTTCCGGCAGGGCTCCTGACTGCACAGCCTAGTCGTAGGGCAGAAGAAGATCTTTAAGCAACACAGAGAACGCCGATCTGATTGTGGGTTAATTCTATAAAATCATGGTGTGAACTGCAAACTCCCCTTTTCCTGGAGGCTCATATGTGTCTCCATTTGTCCCTGGAGTAACACTTTAAGAATGAACTGAGTATGAATAGTACACTTTTATCCAAACTTAATAAAAAAAAACAGGCATTATCTTTTATCTTAGATAAACAGAATAAAATTTGAAATGGAGACAACCCCGCACACTTCATGCAGTTTTAGAAACAGACAACGTGAGTTACTTTTAAAAAGACCCCATGTCCAGTGGCGGGGTGGTTGTGTTCAGGCCCCGCTTGACTCCTCATGCCAGCTTGCTGCCCTGGATGGCAGCCCAGCAGCTGGGTCCCTGCTGCGCACATGGAGGCTCGGCTCCCAGCGCTGGCTGGCGCAGACATGCAAGCCAGTAGACCGGAGCTCTGTCTTTGTAGTAAAGAATAAATAAATAAAAGTAGGCCTTTCTGTTGTTGAAGACCCAAAGATTTGAGCAAGGGCATAAACATCTTAGTGATGCTTTCGTAATGCGAGGTGAGCTGCTCTGGGCTGCATGGGAGTGCCTCGGTGAAGATGGCTGCTCAGGTAGGGGAGGGCATGCGTGTGTGTGATAGAGAGAGAGGCTGTGTGTGTGAGTGTGTGTGTGTGTGAGAGGGGCTCTGTGTGAGAGAGTGTGTGAGAGGGGCTGTGTGTGTGAGTGTGTGTGTCTGTGAGAGGGGCTGTGTGTGTGAGTGTGTGTGTGTGTGAGAGGGGCTCTGTGTGAGAGAGTGTGTGAGAGGGGCTGTGTGTGTGAGTGTGTGTGTCTGTGAGAGGGGCTGTGTGTGTGAGAGTGTGTGAGAGGGGCTGTGTGTGTGAGTGTGTGTGTCTGTGAGAGGGGCTCTGTGTGAGAGAGTGTGTGAGAGGGGCTGTGTGTGTGAGTGTGTGTAAGAATGTGAGAGAGGCTGTGTGTGAGGGGGGCTGTGTGTGAGGGGGGCTGTGTGTGTGAGAGAGGCTGTGTGTGTGAGAGTGTGTAAGAAAATTGTGTGTGAGGGGAGGCTGTGTGAGAGTGTGTGTGATAGAGGCTGTGAGTGTGTGAGAGTGTGAGAGAGTGTGTATATGTGTAAGAGGAAGACTTAATGTGTATGAGAGTGTATGAATTAGTGTGTCTGTGTCCGACTGTGTGAGAGACACTTTGTGTAAGAGAAAAAGACTGTGCATCTGAGAGTGTGTGAGAACTGTGACGGGGCCCAAGGACTTGGGTCATCGTCCGTTCTACCAGTTTTCCAGGTACATTAGCAGGGAGCCAGATCTAAAGTAGAGCAGCTGGGACTTGAACAGCCGCCCATATGGAATATCACCACTGCCCAGGGAGGCTTGATCTACTGTGCCACAGCACTGGCCCATAGAACTAGATCCAGATGGCTTCGGAGCAGCCCTGGTCATTACAGCAGTAACTGACACCGGTGTTGAGTGACCCCGAAAGGCCCTGGGTCGCTGTTCGCAGATGTCCGTGTGTTCTTGCCGTGTACGGGGCGTGTAAGAACTGGTGGTGAAATGCCCCCAGGTGGCGTGGCTGTCCTCCCAGGTGTCTCACTTGTGGCCCTCCCAGCTCACTCTGAACGGCGTGCTCAGAGTATCAGATGTTCGGTCTCTGTTAAAGTAATCGCAGCTGAGAGTTGTTTCTGTATGCCTTTGGCCAGTGTGAGCTCCCGGGACGGTGGCCCTGGGAGTGGCAGTTCCGTGTGAGCCGCCTGTTGATTCGGGGGCCCTTCCTGGGAAAGGGGCTGCAGGGCTGGGGGCTGGGGTGCGCACTCAGCTTTCTGTTTTCCAGGTCAAGAACGGGCCTACCTACAACTGTACGGAATGCAGCTGTGTGTTCAAGAGCCTTGGCAGCTTGAACACACACATGAGCAAGATGCACCTGGGTGGGCCCCACAGTGCCGCGCGCCCCACCGACACTGCGCATGTCTTGACGGTGCGTGAAGGGAGGGGGTGTTCTCTGGACTGTTGGCTGGCTCAAATCCACAAGGTGCTAGCAGAGTGCTTTGTGTGGACTAAGGCATTGCCTTTTTGGTTTTGTTAATCATGAGAGAAAGTCTGGGTTTTTGTTTTGTTTCGTTTTGTTTCTTTTTAAGATTTACTTATTTTTATTACAAAGTCAGATACACAGAGAGGAAGATCTTCCATCTGATAATCCACTCCCCAAGTGACCACAATGCCTGGTGCTGCACCGATCCGAAGCCAGGAACCAGGAATGTCTTCCGGGTCTACCACACGGGCGCAGGGTCCCAAAGCTTTGGGCCGTCCTCAACTGCTTTCCCAGGCCACAGGCAGGGAGCTGGATGGGAAGTGGAGCTGCCGGGGTTAGAACCGGCACCCATATGGGATCCCGGGTGCGTTCAAGGCGAAGACTTTAGCCGCTAGGCCACACTGCCGGGCCTGAGAAAGTCTGTTTTTAATTTTCTGACTCATAGACTGTTACTGACCTGTAAAAATAAGACAAAATGTTGTCACTCGTGCAGTCGGCATCATTGATGAGCTGTTGCATTCTCTTTCAGTTATAGTTTAGAAGTTGATTACCCTGTGTAACTGATACTTCTCTGTTGCTAAGGCTTCTTGGGATAATGAATTATATGTCCCAGTATATACACTTAAAAATTGCCTACACACACACACACACACACACACACACACATACACATACACATACATACATGCATAATACGTTGCCCGTGGCCGTGCTTGCTTTCCTCCTGGTAGGAGTCTGCAGCTTAGGCTCAGCCTGTCAGTGACTGTAGTAGCCTCCAGTGGATTGTAAAGTGGAGCCCCTTGCAGGGAGCTGCCAGAGAGCACGGCCGGAGGTGGGGCAGTGCGGGGGCTTGCAGGATGCTGCTCAACGCAGGACTTGGGGCCTTGGCACGTGTTACTAGCACCCCCGTGGATGCACATTTGCCACAGGGGAGGAAGCGCCCCCTTGGTCCCCAGCTAAGAGCACTTTGCCTGGCGATTTTTAAGCACCACTCTACTGGACACCAGGCCAACTCCACGCCTTGTGGGTACTACGTAGTCCAGGCACATTTCATGTGGTGCTCAGGGTTGCTTCTGGTGCCATCCTGCGGTGGGCAACGCCGGCCTCCAGAGCCGTATTTCTGACTGCTGTGTTGCTGTGTTCCAGGCCACACTCTTTCAGACTCTGCCTCTTCAGACGGCAGAGGCCCAGGTCGTGTCCACCACCGGTCAGCAGAGCGCCCAGGCAGTGACTGACGTCATTCAGCAGCTTCTAGAACTTTCAGAGCCAGGGCCTGTGGAATCCAACCCATCCCCGCAGCCTGGGCAGCAGCTGAGTATCACTGTGGGCCTCAACCAGGACATTCTGCAGGTAAAACCCGTCTGCCTGCTGGCCTGGGGCCTGGCCGAGAGCGGGGCGTGTCGGAGAAAGGGCAGGATAGGCAGTATAGCCTTCTCCATGACCTAGTCATCCATAAATTAAAAAAACAAAACAAAAAAACCTGAATCTTTTTACTGGAAAGTGAGTTTACTCAGAACAGGCTTCCCTAAGCTTCCCTTGGATCTGCCCACATTGGCTACAGACAGTGAAAGGCTTGGCCATACCACCAGGTGGTGGTCAGGGGCCTCCAATTCTGAGCGCCAGAGCAGGGCACAGGAGGGGCAGGGGCAATGCGCCCCTCTGGGCCTCAGAGACACTCTGAGGGCTGTTGTGTAACAGCTCTGTCCCGTACCGTCATGGCAGCAGGCAGGTCTGGGCTGGCCGGCTGTGGCCTATGTCTGCAAGGAATGTGCAGAGACCCCAAACCTGAAATAAGGACCCTCACCCCGTTGTGGAGGGCCAGCCTATATTATCCCCATTGGACCAGTTCTGCTTCCCTGTGGTTTAGAAATGTAAGGGAGACCCTAGGTCCTGGGCAGGGGCCAGGTGGTGGGTCTGGGCTTGGGGGCCAGGCTCGGCTGTGACGGCTCGGGCTGTGGCACTGTGGCCTTGGAGTTGCAGGCGGTGGGGAAGCTTGTGGTGGGTCTGGGCTTGGGGGCCAGGCTCGGCCGTGACGGCTCGGGCTGTGGCGCTGTGGCCTTGGAGTTGCAGGCAGTGGGGAAGCTTGTGGTGGGTCTGGGCTTGGGGGCCAGGCTCGGCCGTGACGGCTCGGGCTGTGGCGCTGTGGCCTTGGAGTTGCAGGTGGTGGGGAAGGTGTGTGACCTCTCATGATTGACTTTGACAGGCAGACGTGGGCCGCTGCATCCTCTAACCTTTTAGTTCTGTTCTGTCTCAGCAAGCCTTAGAAAACAGTGGGCTGTCTTCACTTCCAGTTACAGCACATGCCAGCGACCCCAGCCACAGCAAGGCCTCTGCCACGCAGACTCAGAGCCCAGAGGTCTCCGGCGAATGCCCTGAACCGGCGGACCCCACAGAAGCAGGGCAAGAGAAAGAGCAGGACAGCCCAGAGAAGCTGGATAAAAAAGAAAAGAAAATTATCAAGAAGAAGTCACCATTTCTACCTGGTAATTTTCTCCGGGCACCCGGGCACGCGGTGGCTTGGCGCTGACTGTCCTGCCCTGCCTGCTCTTGAGTGGTGACTGACGTGGAGGGGTGGGCAACGTGACATCTGCTGAGGCTGTCTGTTCTCAGGCTCTCTTGTTGGCCATGGCTGTTCTCTGCTGATGCGCCCCCAGCCCGAGCCTGCGAGTCAGACCGTTGGGCCTGTGTGCGCTGGAGACTGCCTGCTGCCTTCGCCTCTTGCCCTGGCCTCTTCCTCCCCGCTGGACCTACAGTGCCTGTCCCTTGGAATCGTCCGTTTCTCAGCTCTGGGCCCCTCATCACCTGTCCTGTCCTCCGATCTTCCCATAGCTCATGGTGCGGGGCAGGCATTTCCAGGTCTTTCCTGCGAGTGTCCTGTCTGTCGGCACACTGCTCTTCCGCAGACCCCGTCCAGGTGTCCGGGAGCAGCGGCCTTCCTGCAACGCCATGGTGTGTGCTGCGTCCCTCGGGGGCGGCTGTGTGTGCGCCCTCTGCTCCTTGGTACTTACCCTCTGCACTGAGTGACGCATGGGTGCTAGGAGCTGACAGTTTAGTCCCTGGGCCTTCCTTGTCTCACAAAGGACGAGGAAGGAGGGAACCGAAGCTGCCTCATCTGTTGATGAGCCCCGTGGCCGATGGTGTTCGGCACAGGTGCATGTGTGCTCAATGCATGCTGTGGGGCTGGCAGACGGGCTGGCAGACGGGGGCAGCAGCTCAGGCAGCCTTGGGGACTTGTACATGCTGTGGCAGCGAGCCTGCTGGAGCCCTGTCTCAGGCGCTTGGATCCCTCCACCCACAACAGAGGCCTTTGTGGGGATCTGGGCTCTTGGCTGTGCCCGCGCTCGGTGGGGGCAGCCGTTGGGGAGGTGAGCCAGTGAGTGAAGGGTCTCTTGGTGTCTGTTGTCTGTTGCTGTCCCTTTCAGGTAGATGGAAATAGCCCAACATGTAAACCAAGCCCTCAGACTTTCTGTTGAGTTTGTTAGCCGAGCTGGTATTTTGTGCAGCTCCAATGTTCAGTGGAGGCTGGTACAGCCTGTCACCCTGGTTGAGTTGTAGAAGGGACTTGGAAGGTCCGTCCCGGGGCCTTGGAGGCCTTTCCGTGCTTCCGGCTGTCTTTCTCTGATGATCTGTTGGAGGTCTGTGCGTGCTGGATCCTGAGTCCTCCTTGGTACACGTGTTTCGAGTCTCCAGCTAAGCTCTTGTTTTCACTCTGAGGTGTATTTTGATGAACTGTGACTGAAGCTGTGAGCTTCTGACGAAGTTAAGGCGATCTGGCTTTTCACAGTGCAGGCACCTTGTGTCTAGGTTAAGAATTCCACCCTCTCTGAATTCTCCCACATTAAAAGGCGGCCGCTCAAAGTGGTCAGCTTCCCTGGGCCTCGTTTTGGTGTGCCGTAAGTTAGGACGGAATCTTACGGTTTCTGTACTGATAATTACTGGTAACTAGTTTTCTAGCAACATTTGTTGAAAAATTGTTTTCTGCCCCCCTGCCTACAGATCCTTTCGACCTACTGTAAGAACACCCTTACAGCATTTTGTTTGTTGCTGCAAGCGGGGGTGGGGCTTAGCCCTGCCATGGCCACTGATCTGGGACTCAGCGCTTTCCCCAGAGCAGGCTGGTTGAAAACCAAAACAGAGATTGATTTCTTTCTTTTGAAAGAGTTGCAGAGAAAGAAGGAAGAGCTGACAGAGGGCTGCCATCCACTGGTTCACTCCTAAGGGCTGGGCCACGCCAACGCCAGCAGCTTCCTCTGCGTCTCCCACATGAGTGCTGGAGCCCAAACATCTGGGCCAGCCTGGTTCATAAAGGAACCTGGTGTGGTATCCTTGTGGCTAAAGTCCTCTCCTTGCATTGCCAGAATCCCATATGGATGCTGGTTCTAATCCCGGCAGCCTCACTTCCCATCCAGCTCCCTGCCTGTGGCCTGGGAAAGTAGTCAAGGACAGCCAAAGCCTTGGGACCCTGCACCCACGTGGGAGACCTGGAAGAGGCTCCTGGCTTCGGATCAGCACAGCCCTGGTGATTACAGCCGCTTGGGGAGTGAATCAGTGGCCGAAAGATCTTCTTCTCTGTCTCTTCTTCTCTCTGTGTATCTGACTTTCCAATAAAAACATAAATAAATCTTTTTTCAAAAGTGGAGGAACCAGCACACGAAGCTGTGCCTCGCTTCTAGGAGTGCTGTCTGAGGTCAGGCAGCCTGGGGTGGGAGGGGTGTGGTCTGCTGACTCCCTTTAGGGGGCGCCCCGTGTGGCAGGGTGGGGTTCGGCTCTGTGCTCTCCAGATTGCGTGGATTCCTTTCAGATGTGGGGAGTTTCTTTCACTGTCGGCTCACTGCTTTTCCTTTTCCTTGTGGCTCTTTTATCGAATGCCTCTTTCCTCTCTCTGTTCACTCTGCCATGGGCTGTGTGCTAGGCCTTGGTTTATTCATGTTGAGCAGGCTACACATCCCACTGGGCCCAGTCTTTTCTCATTTCCTTCCTTCATTTCCTCTGAGGGACACATTTCTGGATTTACTCTGCCAGTTTTGTTCACATTTGTGGATCTTACTGTAAAACTTACAGTAAGGGTTTTTTGGTAAAAGTTTTAAGTCACCGGCACGTATCTACATATTCATTGGCATTGAAATACTTCGTGAATAAAGTCCCTTGGGGTACCAGGAGTCCTCCGTGTCTGCTGTGGCATTTTACCCAGAGCAGCTTGGGTCTCCGTGCAGACACCTCCCAGCGTCACACTCATATCACTCCTGCTTGCATGTGGAGCAGTAACACCTGTTTCCCAGAAATTGCCTGCAAATACACCACAAGAAGCTCAAAACAGTATTAAAGTGCCAGCACTCCAAAGAAAGAAAAGGTGCCAGTGGGAATGGCACATGCTGCCAGCCCCCTCAGCAGTTCACTGGCGGTTGATCATGAGTGCGCTGGGGAGCTCGGTCTCTACAGTAGGCCCAGTCCCTGGAAGAACTCCACTCAGTAGTCTTTAAGAAGCTGCGGAACGGACGACCCGTGCCCAGGGTGCCCACACACCAGAGCCACCGTGCTGCTTGTGCCTGTCGCAGGCCGAAGATGGCTCTATGAGTGCTGCAGAGGACAGCAGAACAAGCCCCCCAGTGTGGCTGTGCCCCCTTCCCCCGTCCTGCTGTCCCTGCTGGGAGAGGGTGGAGCAGGTGCCCACAGGGCTGGTGCTTGTTCTGCACCTGTCGTCCCCTCTGTGGCACCCTGGTCCTCAGAACCCCAGGGCTGTCACTTGGCTTCGTGGTGACTGTCACAGAATGATCTCCTGGGTCCCATTTTCTCAGGTCACCAAGACGTATCTGAGCAGTGTGGGCAGAGACAGGGATTAGTGTGCCCAGCAGCCTCCTGAACTCTACTTCCCAGGGGCCCCGTGGCGAGGAACAGCCCTACAGGGTTCATGGCACCTTGTCACAAAGGCCCCGCAGATCCAGCCACATGGGCTGCGGGGGCCACCTGCCAGTCGCCATCTGCACCGGCGTTCGTGTTCAGCAGAATCCCGGACTCCTGCATGGGGGTGGGGGTGGCCCCGTCTGTCCTGCCGGGCAGGCGCTCTCAGCACTCTGAGCTCGGGGATTTGTGTTCTGTCACAATTGTCCTACTTCTGGCAACCCTGTGAGCCCTGTGCGTGCGGGCAGCTGGCGTTCCACTGTTCTCTGTCTCGCAGTGGTTTTAAGAACTCCAGTGTCACGTCTGTAATGCTGATGGCACTAAGCCTGCATGGCACATGTGTCCTGCCTGCTTCTGAGTGTGTCCTACAGAATGCTGGCTTCTGAACCGCCCCCAGGGAGGGAGTGCCTCCAGAGACAGGGAGCCTGTGCCGCGAGGCCGCACTCACCGTGCTCAGCGTCCAGGAGCCATGCTGCTGGCAGGGCCGCAGGGTGCAGATGGGGGGCCCGCCTCGGTCAGTGTGGGCAAGCTGTGCTGCCACTGGGCGGACACGGCCGCATCCTCACGTTCATGGTCGACGATCAGTTACAGTTCATTGGCTCCCCCTCCCTGACAGCTGGCGTGTGCGCCTCTCCGTCAGCTGTTTGCTGGCTGTGCACACTTCAGTCTCTCTTTCGAGAGAAGCCAGCGGGGAGAAAAGCAGTGTTGGTGCAGGCCCTGTCGCTCTCACTAGTCAGTTGGACAGTCTGCCCCCACAAAGTCCATGTCACACCCCTGATTAGTACCGACTCCAGCAGATGGGTGCCCGTGGCACCTGATGGTGGCCAGTGGCCAGGAATGCCCATGGCCCTTCCTCAGCCACAAGGCCTGGCCACGAACCTGCAGGCTACCCTAGGCCTGGGATGGGTCTGAGAAAAGCCCCAGCTGTGGGGTGACAAGGCTTGTCCCCCGTGAGTCTGTGCACAGGCAGTCCTGTAGGGTTTGGTGCTGTGATTGTAGTAGACTTGTGTGTCAACAGTGTGTCTGAGCCAGGGCCTTGGGGTACAGAGCTGCCCTGCCTAGGGGAGCGTCAAAACGCCAGACAGTAAAACTGACATGGGGCCTTCTCGGCATGAGCTTGGAGGCACCGAGGGAGCCAAGCCCCAGGAGGGGGGAAGCACAAGCTGGGGAGCTGTGGTCCTCTTCCTTGGGGAGAGATCTCTGGCCCAGCCCTGCCCAACCCAGCCCTGCCCTACCCAGCCCAACTCAGCCCAGCCCAGCCCTGCCCAGCCCAGGCCCAACCCAGCTCAGCCCTGCCCAGCCCTGCCCAGCCCTGCCCTGCCCTGCCCAGCCCTGCCCAGCCCAGCCCTGCCCTGCCCTGCCCTGCCCTGCCCAGCCCAGCCCTGCCCTGCCCGGCCCTGCCCGGCCCAGCCCAGCCTGGCCCAGCCCAGCTCAGCCCTACCCTACCCGGGCTCTGGATCATCTGTGGAGACTGCAGAAGCCATCTGCTGCCTGCACCCAGTGGCTCCATCTGGTCCTACACACACACCTTCCTGCAGGTGCAGTTCTGCGAGACCAGCCATGGGGCTCTGACCCCTCTCCTCTGTGTGTGCTACTGGGGTGGCCCGAGGGCCCTGCAGAACACTTCACAGCCCTCTGTGTTTGTCCCTCTGTTCTCTGCCTGGGTGTGGCCAGTACTAGGGAGTGAGCTGCTTGGTCAGACTCCCTGGACATGGTGTCTTCTTTCCTGTGGAGCCCAGGGGAGCAGGTCTTTGTCCTCACGTGGCACTTGCAGCTCTGACATGTCCCAGCAAACTGAACGCCGGGTTTCTGCAGCTTGCTTTCATGCTTGGCTTCTCCTTTGGTTTATGAGAGGTGCCCCAGACGAGGGCCTTCTCGACAACCGGACGCCTGTCTGCAAGCCTCTGGTGCCTGTGCTGCCGGGTAGTACATGTGGGCAGGCCTTCTGAGCAGGCGAGCTTGGCTCATGGCACACAGGAGCCCCAGGAAGAGGGAAGGGACATGCACCCCATGTTGTCCCACTCGGGCCTTTGGCCCACTACTCGGTAGCCTAGGTCACTCCATCCCACCTACTGCCTTACTTTTCAAAGCTGTTGCCTCGTGTTCCCTTGTGGACCGACGAGAATTGCTGTCGTCTGGCGAGTGCATGGACACTGGGTCCCTTGCAGACCTTGGCTCGTCAGAACTGCAGCGACTGTGTCGGGGGCATGTTCAGAAGTGGTGCAAGTTTCAAAGGGTAGACTATGAAAGACTTTGGTAAGGTTGTAATTTTGAGATAGTTTCAGTCTTAAACCCCATACACCTTGCCCACATGTCTCCAGCGGCTGCACTGTACAGCTGCCTCTCTGCTTATATACTTCTTGAGTTTCCTGTGAGAGACTTGTGGGTAGCATGGGGCCACAAAAGCTCTTGGAAGATATGGAAATAAAGATGGTGCGAAGTTTCCTGTGGCTCTGGCACCCTAGCAGTGCTGTGCATGGGAGGCCTCCGCTGTGGCCCTGAGCTCTGGGCTGCCTCCTGAAGGCCGCCTGCTGTCGGCCTCGTTTCCATGACTGTGCCACTGTTGCTGGCTGCCGCAGGCGGCTGCCCTGGCTTTGGGAGATGCCTTTCTCCACTACCGGGGTGCCCAGTGCTACTCTTCCCCAGGAACACAGGCCGGGGAGGCGGGGCCCGCGAGGCCGTGTAGGGGCGTCTCCTGCTTTGCCCTCTGCGTGCAGGGCTCCGTCCAGGGAGGCCAGCCTGCTGCCCCTGCAGGGGCAGGTGGGCGTGTGAGTCCTGGGGGCTGAGTTCTTCCTCACCACGCTGAGGCCAGGCTGGGGGCGTGCCTGTGCGGTGGGGACACGTGTGGTAAGTTATGCCATGACGGCGTCAGGGCCGCCAGCAATGGATTGTGTTGTACGCCGTGGTGAGAGAGATTTTCTTCTACAGTTGCAGAAAAGCCTGCCTTTTGGGATGGTCCATGTGTCACTTGATGGGTGGCTTCATGCTCGCCTCTCTTCCTATTCTGTTCCCGGTTTACGCGGTGCGTTCTTCAGTAATTCTTCGTTTCTGCATTGGGTTTTGTTATCAAAGCAGGCTTAGATGTTAGATTCACTTAAAATAAGCAGCGTCGCCGTCAAGAATCATCTCCTGTCATCTCAGCCGTTCTCCTGAGTCCCCATCCATTCTCTCATTGTCTGAAACCTTCCAGTGTTGGTTGTTGCAACGCGTCGTTCTTGGCAAGCGGGATGCGTCCTCTCGCTCTGTCGGCCATCACTCTGACTTGTAGTCTGTGAGAACAAGAAGGGAGGCAGGGTTTTGATTTTGGCTTTCATTTCATTAGCCTGACCGGGGTCATTTTAAAATTTTTTAGAATATGTCTAGAGATCATTTCACTTAGTACATTTGCACAAATCTTACTGATCATTCTTCCGTCGGAAATAGCTCTGGGCTGTATTCCGAGTTGGCTCATTGGTGGAGTTGTGAAGGGTGACCCTGCCTGCTCCCTCTCACTCCGCGGTGTGGACACGCTGCTTCTCTGCCCGACTCCAGGCTCTCTGCTGTCCCGGCCGGAGCCCCGATTCCTCACTGCCAGGCCAGAGGCCCGGGCTCCTTCTCCCACGTCCTGGGCTGCTGTCCCGGCCCCGCCCTGCTGGCTCCTGCCCGCAGCCTGTCACCAGCTGCTTGTGGCTGTGGCTTGTCTCCGGATAGGGGTCCTGGTCCCCATCCTCTGAGGGCTGTCCCTCATGTCCCTCGGAGGTCGTGTCTCTGGTGTGGCTCCACAGCCCTGCAGGGTGGCCGCAGTGCCCCCTGCTGCCACAGTGCCCCTTGCTTGGCCCAGCTGTGCCACTTGCTTTTCCTGTCACTGCAGGCTCCATCCGCGAGGAGAACGGGATACGGTGGCATGTGTGTCCCTATTGCACCAAGGAGTTCCGGAAGCCCAGCGACCTGGTGCGCCACATCCGCATCCACACGCATGAGAAGCCCTTCAAGTGTCCGCAGTGCTTCCGGGCGTTCGCCGTGAAGAGCACGCTGACGGCGCACGTCAAGACCCACACGGGCATCAAGGCCTTCAAGTGCCAGTACTGCCTGAAGAGCTTCTCCACCTCGGGCAGCCTCAAGGTGCACACCCGCCTGCACACAGGTGCGCCGCGGCCCGGGCGGCGGGGCTTCTCCTGGGGACCCAGGTTGAGACCGGGCCTCACACTGAACGAGTGTTTCTAAGGATGAGACCCCAGGAGCCTGCGGGGGCCCGGGGCCCAGGACACTGCCTGCACTGGGGCCCTGAGCAGGGAGGGAGGTGAGAACGCCACCCTGATGGCCAGGTGGCGTGAGAGCCTTCGGGAGGGGCCGCAGTGTTCTGAAGGAATGCCCTTTCCAGCATCTGATGCACGCACGGCATTCGCTCTGTTAACGGTGTCGCTGACAGTTTTGTAGCTCACTCTACGTCGGGGTCTTTCTGTCATTTCTGCAGGTACCCCATGTTCGTGAGCTGTGTGTGCTCCTTGAGCGTGCCCTGGTCGAGCTGAGCCTGGGTGTGCAGATTTGCAAAACTGAAGTGTGTGTTGTTGTCTGCTTCTCTGGGCTCTGTGTTTTTCTTTACCTGTGAGATTGTGCACAGGGCGTTCCTCAGACGGCCCGCGCTCAGTAGGACCACAGGCCGGGGGAGGCACTGAGCGCTTGCCCTAAGCTGCCAGATGGCGCTCCGCCTGCTTCTCTGGTGCTTCTGCCAGGTACCCGGGTGAGGGGCCAGTTACAGTGGAAGGCCTTGTCCTGAAGACTGTGTGTTTAATGCATACCTCCACGTCTGCTGTGTGCACTGAATCAAGAGGAGGAAAGAGAAAGAATGTGTGACAGCCTTAAAATTATAAGCATGGAATAACAGATTGAATATTCAAATCAGTTTGAAATCCCCACTTTTGTTGCCATTCTTTGTTATAGCACGAGTCCTTGAAATAATTGTAAAATGTAATTTTTTCTTCTTTTGTCAGGAGTTAGACCTTTTGCTTGTCCTCACTGTGACAAAAAATTCCGAACCTCTGGTCATAGGAAGACCCACATTGCTTCTCACTTCAAACACACGGAATTACGGAAAATGCGGCACCAGCGAAAGCCCACGAGGGCCCGCATTGGCAAGGCCAGCGTCCCAGTGCCCGACATTCCTTTGCAGGAGCCAATTCTCATAACGGACTTGGGTAAGGCATGTGCCAGGCCACCTCATGGCTCTCCCTGCGTGCTCCTTGCCCTAGCCCTCATGCCGAGCGTGGGCCTAGGTGGGCCGTGGCACACATGCCTGCTTCTCAGGCTCACCCATCCCACTGTAGTGTTCACGTCTCGTGTAAGCCATTACTCAGAGTCAAGTCGGTACTCACGAGGCAGGGCCCCGGCAGGAAGCTTGCAGGCTGCTGAGTGAGGAAGAGGAGGGTCGGCAGTGGCAGGTGCTAGCACCGAAGCCAGAGAGCCGTAGCTTGTTCGGGGAAGGAGAACAGCACAACACATGGAGGGTGAGTGGGGATGTGCAGGGGGAGGGACAGACAGGTGGACAGAGAGCTGGGCAGGCACGTGACAGGGGAGTGGGAGGGGAGTCACAGTGGTTGCGCTTTGACAGTGAGCCGTTGGAGCTGCCTGAGGGGATTGTTCTTGGCGATTTCCTCTTGCTGGTGACTGCAGAGGGAGTTCAGTCACAAGGAGAGGAGTGCTTGGGAGCCAGGGCCTGGGTGAGGCCTTGACACCCTGCAGGGTCAAAGCGAGCTTCCCGAGGGCCAGGCCTGGTCCTACCGCTTCCCTTCCAGCACAGGTGGTGTTTCCCCTGGGAGTGGAGAGGGAAGCTGCTGGGGGCAGAGCCGTGCCCACGGCTCGCAGGGGAGCTGCTGGGAGACAGAGCTGTGCCCGCAACTCGCAGGGGAGCTGCTGGGAGACAGAATGGTGCCCGCAGCTCGCAGGGGAGCTGCTGGGTCGCAGAGCCGTGCCTGTGGCTCACAGGGGAGCTGCTGGGGCACAGAGCCATGCCCGCGGCTCACAGGGAAGCTGCTGGGTCGCAGAGCCGTGCCTGTGGCTCACAGGGGAGCTGCTGGGGCACAGAGCCATGCCCACGGCTCACAGGGAAGCTGCTGGGTCGCAGAGCCGTGCCTGTGGCTCATAGGGGAGCAGCTGGGGGCAGAGCCGTGCCCGTGGCTCGCAGGGGAGCTGCTGGGGGCAGAGCCGTGCCCACGGCTCGCAGGGGAGCTGCTGGGGGTACTGATATGCCACCAGCATTACACGGTGCAGGCACAGTGAGATACCTGACCTGTTGGATTTCTGCCTTATTATTTGAGGTTGGTGAACATGCAAAAGGCGTGGGTTTTTTTTTTTTTTAAACAACTTACTTTATTTTTATTGGAAAGCCAGATTTATAGAGAAGAGACAGAGAGAAAGATCATCCATCCACTGGTTCACTCCCCAAGTGGCTGCAATGGCCGGAGTTGAGCTGATCTTAAGCTGGGAGCCAGGGGACTCCTCTGGGCTTTGGGCTGCACTTGACTGCTTTCCCAGGACACAAACAGGAAGCTGAATGAGAAGTGGAGCAGATAAGACACGAGCCAGTGGCCATGTGGGATTCCAATGCTTTCAGGGTGAGAATTAGCTAAGTAAGCCATCGCTTGGGTTCAGGGAGTTCTTTGCTAAGGTCTGGCTCTGAAATCTGAGATGTTTTAGGGTTCTTGCTGTTTGCAGATACTCTGTTGAAAGCGTTGAACTTTGCAGGTTGGATGTTGAGTCAGAAGCATCTGTTTCAGTTTGCTGAGTTCCTTAGTGTACAGTAATCACCCTGAATGTGCAGGGGATGCGTGCGGCTGTGTAACTCCCACGTCAGCCACTGCCTGAGTAAGAAGGAAATCCACTAAGAGTTGATCAAGACAAGTCATAGTGGGAGTGGGGTGATTCCCCTCATGGGAAGCCATGACAACTCACACACTCCTCATGTCCCCCCGTCCCTCCAGCTGTGCCAGCCCGGCCGAGGTGGCTCTGCAGTCCTGTCCCTCCAGCTGTGTCCTCCCCTGTCCCTCCAGCTGTGCCAGCCTGGCCGAGGTGGCTCTGCAGTCCTCTGTCCCTCCAGCTGTGCCAGCCCGGCCGAGGTGGCTCTGCAGTCCTCTGTGCCTCCAGCTGTGCCAGCCCGGCCGAGGTGGCTCTGCAGTCCTCTGTGCCTCCAGCTGTGCCAGCCCGGCCGAGGTGGCTCTGCAGTCCTGTCCCTCCAGCTGTGCCAGCCCGGCCGAGGTGGCTCTGCAGTCCTCTGTGCCTCCAGCTGTGCCAGCCCGGCCGAGGTGGCTCTGCAGTCCTCTGTGCCTCCAGCTGTGCCAGCCCGGCCGAGGTGGCTCTGCAGTCCTCTGTGCCTCCAGCTGTGCCAGCCCGGCCGAGGTGGCTCTGCAGTCCTCTGTGCCTCCAGCTGTGCCAGCCCGGCCGAGGTGGCTCTGCAGTCCTGTCCCTCCAGCTGTGCCAGCCCGGCCGAGGTGGCTCTGCAGTCCTCTGTGCCTCCAGCTGTGCCAGCCCGGCCGAGGTGGCTCTGCAGTCCTCTGTGCCTCCAGCTGTGCCAGCCCGGCCGAGGTGGCTCTGTAGTCCTGTCCCTCCAGCTGTGCCAGCCCGACCGAGGTGGCTCTGCAGTCCTCTGTGCCTCCAGCTGTGCCAGCCCGGCCAAGGTGGCTCTGCAGTCCTCTGTGCCTCCAGCTGTGCCAGCCCGGCCGAGGTGGCTCTGTAGTTCTGTCTCTCCAGCTGTGCCAGCCCGGCCGAGGTGGCTCTGCTGTCCTCTGTGGCTCCTGGGGACACTGACTCCTTGGGGAGAAGCCCTGACTCTAAGTTTGCCCTTTCTTTGACTGTAGGTCTTATCCAGCCCATCCCGAAAAACCAGTTTTTCCAGAGTTATTTTAACAATAATTTTGTCAGTGAAGCAGACAGACCGTACAAGTGTTTCTACTGCCACCGTGCGTATAAGAAGTCTTGCCACCTTAAGCAGCATATCAGGTAAGGCAGTGGGCCCAGACGCGCGGAGGCAGTGCCATGCCGTGCTGCCTGGGTGGTCTGGCACTTTCAGGAAGCACTTAGGGTGGTAGTGCTGGCTTTGGGTATTTGAAATGTCATCCACTGATAATTAATAGGTTTCATTTTTTAGTCTCTTGACTAAAATGTTTTATGCAGAAATGACCACTAAACTGTTTATATTCTTAATACAGTTCAGTATTTGCTGTTGAAAGGAACTATGAAAAAGCACTGTTTATTTTTTTAGCATTACGTTTACTCTTTAGAGTCTGTTCATCGGAGTGTAGGTTAATGCTTGGAGCTAGTTCCATGAAGACGGCAGCAGGGCGCTGTGCCCTACTGGGCCCCTCGGCCCCTGGGCGCTCGGCGTGGGGCAGAGCAAGCTGCGTGGCGTGGCTCGGGAGGGTGTCGGCCTCATTCGGTGTGACAGACTTGGTCGGGCTTTTCATCCTCTAGGTCCCACACAGGCGAAAAACCCTTCAAGTGCTCTCAGTGCGGGAGGGGTTTCGTGTCTGCAGGAGTGCTCAAGGCCCACGTACGCACACACACAGGGCTCAAGTCCTTCAAGTGCCCCATCTGCAGTGGGGCTTTCACCACGGGGGGCAGCCTGCGGCGCCACATGGGCACCCACAACGACCTCCGGCCCTACATGTGTCCCTACTGCCAGAAAACCTTTAAGACCTCGCTCAACTGCAAGAAGCACATGAAAACTCACAGGTCGGTATGGTTGTGGTAGGCACTTTTTCCTCGGGTGTCATCCCCAGGTGTACCTTTAGGAAGCCACTCTCTCGGATTCCTGTGCGAGTGCTTCTAGCTGCTCCACAGGCTGAGGAGTTGGCGGCATCAGTGTCAGAGCATCTCTGAGAGCGTAAACAGTCATGACCTGTTGGTGTGCCTGGGTCCGAGTGCTCTGCCAGCTGACGGTGGACATTCAGACATTCAGACAGCATGCTGGGAGTGCTGGGAACATCACCAGCATGCGGCTTGGCTCCTGTGCGTGGTGGACGTGAGGACCTGAGCGGGCCAGCTTGCCTCGTCCCTGAGCCCACCCTGCTGCCTTTGGCTTGGTCTGGGTGCTGGATACCGTCTCTCTGAAGGGTCTGCCCTGCTGCCCGGTGGGCACTTTGCCTGCCCTTTGTTTGAAGTGACGGGAATTGCCAGCGGTAGAACAGTTGGGAACGAAGGAGGCTGAGGTGGAAGGGCCAGAACATGCGCACCCTGGCCACTCCTCATGCAGATGCAGACCGGTGCCCCAGGCCTGGCTGTCCTGGGCGATGCTCGGGACCACCGTTCATAGCAGAAGCAGTTGAGATGCCAGAAAAGGAAGAGGAAGAGTTTGTTTGGGAGTCAGGATGATTCAGAAGATCGTGGGTTGGTCACGTGGGGGAATACCTGTGGGTCTGGAATGTGCAGGAGGCAGGGACTGCTACCTTGCGGACTGTGGCCATTTGATGCAGTCCGGGGTCAGGTCTGTGGTCCAGGGTGGGTGGGTTGGTTGGCTTGTTAAGTTTTTGGGTTCATCTGCCAATCTCCTTGTTCTTTCTCTGCAAGAGAGACTGTTGACCTTGAGGCATCAGTGCTAGGTACTTTCTTGCAGGAGTGCATGGTGCCAGAATCATTGTATGTGGGAAACCGAATGGATGATTTCACCACTGATCACCAGTCAGGAGGGCATGTGATTGCCCTGCCTTGGCATATTGCATGCTTGGTCATGCGCGCTGGGTGGGTCTGGATGCGTGCTGGCTCTCTGGACACCTGAGCTCACCCCAGGATCAGAGTTGGGAATTCCACTGTAAGCAGGCAACATCTTGCCTCGTTCTGAGACATGAACATGCAGGTGTATGCTGTGTCCTGCAGCCTGAGACGGCACCGAACACATGAGACCCTGTGGCTTCTCCTGATCGTTGCTCATGGTGGCTGATTCTTAGCTGACTTGTCATCATGATTTCAGAATGAAATCTGTGATGAGTGGGTGGTGGCATTGGTGCCAGTATCTAACAGCACCCACTGTCCTCTTGCAGGTACGAGCTCGCCCAGCAGCTGCAGCAGCGGCATCAGCAGGCCACTTCCGTGGGCGACAGCACCGTGGATCAGCAGGGCGTGCAGGTGGAGCTTGAGAGCTCTGGGCTGCAGCACACGGCTGACGCGGTGGCTGCAGACCCCGAGGCCATGCTGGACCTGGGCCCCCCACATGTCGCGGCTGCAGAGGACACGGCCCTTGGCCAGCCGCTGGCTGAGCAGCCTCTGGGAGCGGATGAAGGTTAGTGTTCAGGAAGGCCAGAGTAGGGCGACCCTCAGTGCCATGTGGCCCCCTCACGCTCCCCACAGTGCATTCCCACCTGTCTTCTCTGATGTTTTACAAAATTGTTCATGTGTTTGAGAGGCAGAGAAAGACCCTGACACTACTTTCTGCCACCTCCCTCCTCAGGTGATGCCGAAGCCGGGAGCTGGAGCGTGAGCCTGGCTCTCCCATGTGGGTGGTACCCCCTGCCCTCTGCGGTCTGGTTTAGTGGGCAGTAGACCCAGGAGCAGGGCTGAGCGTTGAGCCCAGGGGCTCTGCTGCTGGCGTGCTGGCGTGTCACTGCCTGCGCGATGCCTGCCCTCCAAGTCACAGGATGTGTTGGGGTGTGCCAGGGGCTGCTGCACGTTCTCCAGTGCCCCACTTGCTACTTAATCAGGTTTCCACTCAATTTTATTTTTTTTAAGGGCAAGTTGTTTGCTCTTTTTTTAGGGCTTATTTATTTTCATTATACTTCAAAGGCAGCACTACAGCCATTACTTGATTCTTAACACCTGCACCAGGCGAGGCTGGGCCAGGTGAAGCCAGGAGATCAGAAGTCCACGTGGCTTTCCTACATGCGTGGGCGGGATCCAAGTACCTACACTATCGCCTGCGACCCCCAGAATGCGCACCAACACGACCTGGGTTGGAAGCAGAGTAGGCAGGGCTTGAGGCTGACCCTCCAATAGGGCAGCCAAGGGTCACTGTGTCACTTTCCTGCCATGAGGCTGATCCTTACAACCTTCCCTGAGTGGCCTGGGGGAGGTTGGCAGGTGGGAAGTGGCTTCCAGTGTGTGGTCTCCTCTCATTTGCATGCTTGTCCTCAGATGGCTTTGCAGCCCGCCAGGACCCCCTCGGAGGGCACATGGAGCGGTTTGAGGAGCAGACCCCAGCGGCACAGTCCTTTGAGCCAGCAGGGCTGTCACAAGGTCAGTGGTGGTGAGCTCTCGTAGGCAGCGCCTGCATTAAAGCTAATTCTGAACCACCTTCAACATTCCTGGAGTCACAGACCAGATACGCCATGGCAGGCAGCGCATGGTTGACGCACGTTTGACTCAGACATGCTACTTTGTGGTCCACTTGGACCTTTGGGGAAATGGCCTTCCCACCTCTGCCTGCTGTGGCTTCCAGCCAAGGACCAGGGGCCTGCGGGTAGGGTACCCAGTGCCATGTGCTGGACATGGCTCTGCCTGTGGGCAGCACAGGTGCTGGTTACCTGATCTCGGTGCTGACCCAGAAGGCCAACCTGTCCCTTAGATATTTTTCCTGCCTCTTTTCAGGTTTTGCAGTGCCAGATAGCTACAGCCAGCAGTCGCAGTTCCCCCCTGTCCAACAGCTGCAGGATTCCAGCACACTGGAGTCTCAGGCGCTCTCCACGAGTTTCCACCAGCAGAACTTGCTGCAGGTCCCTGGCTCCGATGCAGTGAGCGTGGTGAGTGCTGGCAGGAAGCACCGATCTGGCTCTGGGTAGCCTTACTACAATTGCCCAGCGTTGATTTCCTAAAGAGAATGTGCTGCTGACTCCACACATTAAGGTTCTTGCATCACCCATGAAAATAAGGATAAATTGAACCCTCTGTTTTCCTTAAGATACTTAGATTTTATGTAAGGATTTCAATGCCCGGGCCGGATGCGTTGGCCTAATGGCTAAAGTCCTCACCTTGAACGCGCCAGGATCCCATATGGGCACCAGTTCTAATCCCGACAGCTCCACTTCCCATCCAGCTCTCTGCTTGTGGCTTGTGTAAGCAGTAGAGGACAGCCCAAAGCCTTGGGTCCCTGCACCCATGTGGGAGACCCGGAAGAAGTTCCTGGTTCCTGGCTTTGGATTGAGTCAGCTCCGGCCATTGCGGCCGCTTGGGGAGTGAATCATCGGATAAAAGATCTTCCCCTCTGTCTCTCCTCCTCTCTGTGTATCTGACTTTGCAATAAAAATAAATAAATATTAAAAAAAGAAAGATTTGAATACCCTGTTGTGCTTTTGCCTTTTTGGTTAAAAGCCAGGATGAGTAATACTCAGGAGAGTATTTTGTAGTAACAAACGCAGGGTTTTAACGTTGCCCTACACACCAACCTAAACCTTTTTGTTTGTACACTATTACATATGGCAGAAGGAAAATACTATGAAGGCTGATATGTTAAATTTTAATTGCATTATTTTATTCAAAAATGTTATCTCATTGGAAATACTAGATTTTGTATTTTGGAGTGTTTTTAATGCTGATGCATACAAATGATTGACCAATCAATTGTTCTCTCTCTCCTTTCTCTCCCTCCCTCTCTGATTGATTTACTTATTTTGAAAGAGTTGCAGAGAGAGAAGGGGACAGATTTCTTTCATCCACTGGTTCACACCCCTCCCCCCCAAATGACCCCAACTCTCAGTGCTGTGCCACACTGAAGCCTGGAGCTTCATCTGGGTCTCCCAATGGGTGCAGGGGCCCAAGCACTCTGACCACCCTCTGCTGCTTTCCCAGGCCATCAGCAGGGGCTGGGTGGGAGTGGACATGATGTGTGCATGTGCAGGCCATCAGCAGGGGCTGGGTGGGAGTGGACATGATGTGTGCATGTGCAGGCCATCAGCAGGGGCTGGGTGGGAAGTGGAGCAGCCGAGACATGAACTGGTATGCGTGTGGGATGCTACATTATAAGCTGCAGCCTAACCCATGACGATGCAATAGGCTGCAGTGTGATTTCTCTCTTTAAATACACTGTTGTGGCATCGCAGCTGTCACTGTGACACTAGCAGTCCAGCTCCTGGCTGTGGCACTTGGGAAAGCAGTGGAGGGTCCCTCAAGTGTTTGGACCCCTCACCCTGTTTGGGAGACCTGGGTACAGTTTATGGCTCCAGTTTCACCACCCCCCCCCCACAGCCATTTTGGGCAGTGAGCCAATGAATAGAAGATCTCTGTCTCAAACTCTCAAAATGAAAGAATCTAAAAAAATCAAATCCCGCTGTTGGAGTGCTGTCCGAGCGGCAGGGCTGGCTTCTGCAGAGAGCAGCCGAGACTGCTGGCAGTGGTGCCCCTGGCTCATGCTGGGCGCAGCTTCGCAGACCTGGTACAGATGCTATGCCCCCAGCTCCCTCACAGTGGAGGGTGAGCGGACCCTGACCCTTGCCAGCAGCTCCCTCTGTGCCCCACTTTGACCTGTGCTTGGCCCCTGTCCTGAACGTTGCATGATCGTCCGCCCTGTGTGTGAACAGCCTGTTGTGCTGTGACTGGAAGGGGCTGACCTGGTTGTCGGGAGGATGTGGCTCTGACGGGAGAGGAGGCAGGCTCCCCAGGAGGCAGGGTTTGCATTCTCATGTCGGAAAGGGTCAAGCTGACGACAGAGCATTTTTTTTTTAGATTTATTTTTATTATTTTTTTATTGGAAAGGCGGATATACAGAGAGGAGAGACAGAGAGGAAGATCTTCATCCGATGATTCACTCCCCAAGTGAGCGCAATGGTCGATGCTATGCCGATCCGAAGCCAGGAGCCTCTTCCGGGTCTCCCACATGGGTGCAGGGTCCCAAAGCCTTGGGCTGTCCTCGGCTGCTTTCCCAGGCCACAGGCAGGGAGCTGGAAGGGAAGCAGGGTGCCGGGATTAGAACCGGTGCCCATATGGGATCCCGGGCGTGCAAGGCGAGGACCTTAACCACTGTGCCACCGCCCGGGCCCAACGACAGAGCATTTTTAATCATTTCAGTATCTCATTGCCAATGAAAGTCTGTTCCAGTACGTTCAAAACAGGTCAGTAGGCATTGGTTTTAAGTTATGACCAATGGTGTTGCTTTCAGTGACTGCGGTGGACTGCTCGGCTTTTTCCTGTGAATGTGTGTTCGTGCGCGGCCTTGACCTTGATTTCTGGATACCCGTGGCAGTCCACTTGACACTTGTGTTCCGTTGCAGACAACACGGCTGATCCAGGAGCCACCCCGGGAGGAGCTGGATCTGCGGCCGCAGCGTCCTCTGTTTCTGGAAGACAGTGAAGATCAGAGCCGGCGCTCCTACAGGTATGCTGCGGCCAGGCTCCAGCTGCCACGAGCGAGGCCCTCCCCATCCCGAGCACTGTGCAGCGTGCCTCTCCTGGCACTCTGTGAAACAGTTCCCCTCACCATCCTCATTTCATTAATGAGCTGAGCTGGCTGGGCTGTGGCAGCCACATCCTGCCTGTAGCTGCTGCACCTCGTGCTCTGTGGGGCTTCCCTGCCCCCTTGGACCCCTGTGCCTGTTGGCACAAGTAGCCAAGACGTACCGTGCACCTTCTCCATCAGTGGATGGTCTTCAGACCGTTCATGGAGGTGACAATCATGAGAAACTCTGCACGGACCACAAATTTTGGGAAAGAAAGCATGTTACATGTCCTTGAATGTGTGGCAGCCTGTGTGCCAGGACAGGTGACCCCCAACCGCCGTGGCTGTGCAGCAGCTTGGGAACTGGCTGTGGGTCTCGGCTCTGACCCACACTGTGGTGTGGGGCACAGGGAATAGAGTGAGTGTCCGTGAAAAGGCCAAGTGTATGTTTCTGAAAATTAGCGTGAATAGGATCTTCTGCGGAGATAACTTTAGCCTCAATGTAGTTTTAATATTTTCCTCATTTCCTTTAAGCACTTCTGAACTTGAGTCATTTTCCCAGAGCCATTTAGCCAGGAACTGTATTCAGTGACTTTGCAGTCACTGTTGTGGGTGTCTAGCTGCTCCCATGGGGATTCTGGAAGTGGACGAACTTGCTGGTGTTACTGACCATGCACGTTTGAGAGGCCCTGGGACTCCTGGGTGTTTACAGATTTGCAGATCCACGGTGTAGGATGCTACTGGCTGCAGAGGGTGTGTGGGTTCTGGGGGTTTCCAGTGGGCTGCAGCCTTTTCTGCAGTGCTCCTGTCACTTGGTGCACACTTCTCATTTGCTCCACGTGACGTGTGTGCTCATGCCTGAGCATTGGAGCTGAAGTTGGTGATTCCTTCATGATGTTGCTCTGGCTTTACTGGATGGTAACTTTTCAGCCTACCCACCAGCAGCTTACCTGCTGACCATCCATCAGCAGTAGTGTTTACTACGGACCTGTGATGTGCCGGGCACAGCAGAGTTCAGAATGCAGGCGAAAGAGAATAAGCACAATAAGTCACCGAACTGCATGGGGATGAAACCTTCCCTTGGCAGCGGAGAAAAGGAAGACGGGAAGAGCCGTGCCCCGGAAGGGCTGTGTGTCCACTGCTCAGCTGTGCCCCGGAAGGGCTGTGTGTCCACTGATCAGCCGTGGGCCTAGAAGGGCCGTGTGTCCGCCCATCAGCCACAGGCCTAGAAGGGCTGTGTGTCCACTGATCAGCTGTGGGCCTAGGAAAGGCTGTGTGACTGTCTATCAAGGCTGTGGGTGACCGTAAGCAGAGGTTGTAAATTCTGGCTGTATTTAGAAGTAGAACCTAGAGGATTTACAGCAGGCAAAGAAGTGAGAGAAAGACAAGGGGCAGGGGACTGTTAGGAGCTTGAGCTGTGCATCTTGATGGAGAGATGGCTGTCTGGAAGGGGAGACCCTTGGCAGACAAGGCTCCTGTCGCCAGGCTGGCAGTTGACACGGATGGTTGAAGTTAAGGGGCAGGCCAAACTGGCAGTCCACATTTGGGAGTTGTCAGAGCAGAGACCAACCTTTTGAGCTGAGGGAGTGTGTGTTCCAAAAAGCATCGCATCCTGACCACACCCCTCAGAGACGAACGAGAAAAGGAAGGGCCAGCTGCAGGGACCAAGGTGCACCCACTGGGAATGAGCAGAGCCTGCAGAGACGCATGCCAGTGGGCACCTGTATCGTCTGAAGGAGAGAGTGTGCGGCTTTCCCTGGATCCCCAGGGCTGCAACGATGTCAAAACCATGGCAACTGTAGCTGTCATCACGCTATTGAGTTTGGCCAAAGTCGAGGCTTCCTATGCCTCCTGGCTGAGCTGCTTCTGGGCATTGTCTGCCTGACCTCATCTGAGGGGTGGCGGTGGGGGCAGTTAGGGAGAAGGGTCAGGATCCCATGCACAGATGCCCTCAAGGACAAGGCCAGGGCCTGGCCTCCAGGGTTCAAGCTGTACTGGACACCGGGGCAGAATGACTGCAGACAGAGGCCAGCTGTGACCTGAGGGAGGAAGGACCCTGGCACAAGCAGTGAGTGGTCCCTCATTGTTGTTTTAAAGAGAGAGGAAGATCTTCCATTCTCTGGTTTGTTCCCCAGATGACTGAAACTGCCAGGGCTGAACCTGGCAGGACGGGAGCCAGGAGCCTTATCCAGGTCTCCTTGATAGTGCAGGGCATAGCCACTTGGGCCATCCTCTGCTGCTTTCCCAGGCCACTAGCAGCAAGCTGCATTGGAAAGCTGCCAGGGCTTGAATCTGTGCCTGTGTAAGATGCTGACTTCGCAGGTGGGGCTGTGCGTGCTGTACCACACTGCTGGCCCCGGAAGGTTCCGTCTTGTGTGCATGGAGCTGGGGCTTTAAGGGGAGGGTGGAAGATGGGGCTGGAGCCAGCTGGGGAAGGTCCTGTTTGTCAGAGCTGCGCTCCCAGGATGGCCAGCCAGTGCCACCTTTTGGGGGTAGTTGGCTTGGTTAGTGTACATTACTGTTCCACAGACATCACTGTTTCACCATCAGCCTTCTTGGTGGATCCCAGCTGGCTCTGTGGCAGTCACTGTGCAGCTGATTGCTTTCCGCATGACGTGGAGACCACGAGCTGCCCGCCTCCACTGCGGGCTAATCCCTCCGTCGGTGCATGGGGCCTCTTGCTTGCTTGCTTTCTGCTTTTGGTCGGTGGCCTCGGCAGACTCCATTGCACAGCAGTGAGGCCTCAGCACACCTTGACACGTGCAACCTGTGGTCTAGTGCCAGTCTTCATCTGCCGCCTCCTGTAGGCTAACACTGAGGCGTGGGCAAACAGCACGCGCCGGTGGAATACGCTTTTGATACATAAATGGGAATTGTGAAGTCTATAATTATTTTAACCCTTGGTAGCAATTGAGAGTGCAATAATGTGCAGCTTTTTTGGTACATTATTTGCAATAGCCCCAGCGTGGTCTGTTCGGTGCAGCCTTTACCGAACGACTGCATCTGAGTGTGGGACGGGAGGCTTCTAGGTCGAGGCTCGCTGTGAAGGAAGTAGTGCAGGATGTATGCCCCTCCTGTTTGTTGGCATGTCCGTGTGCGGGAGACGAGATAGGGTTCAGCCTGCAGATGCTCTACAGATTACGGTTACTGACTCTGCGTCCTGGTTGTTGTGTTTAAACCTCTCATCGCTTGCTGGCTTTGGGTGTCGAATGGCTATTAGGGAAGATTGTTGGATATTGTTTGTGGCCATGTTCTGGTGAGTGTGAACAGAGCGCTGTGTTGGTTTCCAGGTGTGACTACTGCAACAAAGGCTTCAAGAAGTCCAGCCACTTGAAGCAGCACGTGCGGTCACACACCGGGGAGAAGCCCTACAAGTGCAAGCTCTGTGGACGTGGCTTCGTCTCCTCTGGAGTCCTCAAGTCCCACGAGAAGACACACACAGGTGATTGTCTACCTCTAGTGCTCTTTTCCATTTTTACAAAGATTTCTTTGTGTATGCTTTGGAATGGCGAAGAAAGGGAGGAAGGAGAAAGTGTTTCCCTCTGCACGTTGACTCAAGTCTCAGCAGCCGTGCTGAGCTAGGTGCTCCTGGGCCTCTGCTGTGTGGGAGGCCTTGGGCTGTCTTGCACTGTTTCCCAGACACAGTGACAGGAACCTGGGTTCATTCTGATGCTGATGGGGTGATGGGTGTTCCTGTGGTGTCATTGTATGCCAGTGGGATCACCCACTTTGCGTGGACACATGTTCAGAGTTTGACAGCCTCACTCCTGTCTCATTTTACAACGTTCTTGTCACCCCACTAGCTGTCACTACCTCCTCCCACATCTGAATCTCTTGCATGCTCAACCCCAGGGAGTCCTTGGTCTACACTAACCCCACCAACCCCAGGGAGTCCTTGGTCTACACTAACCCCACCAACCCCAGGAAGTCCTTGGTCTACACTAACCCCACCAACCCCAGGAAGTCCTTGGTCTACACTAACTCCTCCAACCCCGGGGAGTCCTTGGTCTACACTAACTCCTCCAACCCCGGGGAGTCCTTGGTCTACTCCATGGATTTGCCTCTTGTGCACATTCCCAGTAGACTCAAGCAGCAGGTGGTCTTGCCAGTCTCTCCCAGCACGCGGTGTGTGCTGGGCCACACGTGCACATTGTGGCGTGTGTGCATGCTTGCCTCCTGACTGCCACACTCCGCCTCACCGCACGTCCTCCTGTCACCTGATGGGCGTTTGGGTCATTTCCATTTATTGACTGTTACGAGTAATCCTACTTGAACGTTCGCATGTGAGGCTTTGTGACGAGTTTGTCTTCATTTCCCTACTTAGGGATGAAATTACTAGGCTATGTGATGGCAGTGTCTTTAGCGTCTCCTGCATCCCACAGCAGACACTACAGTTCTGCTCTCTGCACTCCCTTGCCAGGGCTTGTCTGAGCCATCTTTCTCATCATGCTCTGTTCTGGGGAGGGAAGCATCTCACTGGAGCTCTGACTTGGAGCCCTCTGATGGCTAGCGACATTGAGCATCTTTTCAAGTGCTTCTTCGGAAATATGTTTCAACTCTGTTCATTTGTTATCACTGACTTGTAAGAGTTCTTCTATAAAATATATTTTGACTGCTCCACCTTTATCAGCTATGTGGCTTGTGATTACAAATATCGTTAGAGCTACTCCCTCCACTTAATCAACCGTTGTATCTATTTGGCGTGTGGATGACATGTTTAGTGTCAGCGTGCATTCTGGTAGGGCTTCAGTGAAGTTACCCTGCTCAGAACATTCACTCAGACAGAGGGGGCAGGCCCACGAGCTGGACTCCACGTGGATGGAGAGGCTCGCCGAGAGCCCACGAGGGGGCAGACAAGCTGTCCTGAGCGGTGGGGTCCCTGAGATGGATTTGAAAAGCCCTTTCTCAAGGGGTGAAAGGTCCTGAGACACGTTGTGGGTGAGGGTGGAGAGGCCGCCTGAGCCCTGGCTGGTATGAGGGCACACTCTGGGGGGCCGCCATTCTCTCCTGCTCTGTTCTCATGACCTGTAAGCTGGCCAAACCCCTTTGCACAGAGCCCCTCTGCTGCCACAGCTGGAGACTGTCTCAGGCTGCCTCCTGCCAACCGTGTCTCTGCTGTTGTGCCGCCGCAGGGGTCAAGGCCTTCAGCTGCAGCGTCTGCAACACCTCCTTCACCACCAATGGCAGCCTCACGCGGCACATGGCGACACACGTGAGCATGAAGGCCTACAAGTGCCCCTTCTGCGAGGAGGGCTTCCGGACCACTGTTCACTGCAGGAAACACATGAAGAGGCACCAGGCAGTGGCCCCTGCTGCTCCCACAGCTGGCGAGACGGAAGGAGGAGGTACTGCCTGCACAGTCTCGCTGGTTAACTGGATGCTGGCTTAGGAGTACACTTGTGCCCAGGTCATCCGTGGCTGTTTCAGTCTGCCTGGGGAGGGCTTGGCATTAGTAGCACCTTACATCTTAGACTGTCTTGTTTTCTGATTATGAGAGCATGCTTGTTCCTTGCGCATGGCCCAGAGGCGCAGTGAGGGAGTCATCTGGCAGTGCTATGGGCCCTGCCCTCATATCCAGCTCGCCTGCCTCCATCCCTCCACATGGACCCGGGCGAGGCAGGGCTCAAAGGGTTGGCTTGGGTTTTTAAAGGAAGGCGATGATTTGCCGTCTTTTCTCTTCAGCCCTGATCCTCGCTGGGCGGGGGACCACCTGCAACCCTGTCCATAGTGCTGTGCCATGTCCTGGGGATGGATGTGCCGCTGGCATCTGCTCTCTCCCCAACATAGGGACAGCTGGCGTTGGTAGAGCGCCTCCTGCCATGCTGTGCCAGCAGCAATGCATGCACGGCCCTCCCTCACAGTTGGCATAGACCACTGGACAGCTGACAGAATTCCTCTCGTGTTGTGTGGGAACCAGCTAAACCTTGGGAAATTTGCCCGAGTCCACATGCCCGCAGTGTATACCAGATGATGTTGGTGTCAGGAATGTGTGTGCATGCCTGCGCACGTGCACACACACACACTGTGTGATAAAGCATTGCCTTTGAGTGCTGTGAATGGTGCTGGTCTCAGTGTACCGCCTCCTGATGCCTGGTGCCTGGTGCCTGGTGCTTGTGGAGTGAGACCTGTGAGTTCCTGAGGATGCCATGTGGAGGGGAGCTCTCAGCCCGCAGCCCTGCCGTGGCTCCTGCCCTCCGCCCCTCCAATGCTCAGCCTGCAGCTCTGTGTTCATTTGGACTCGGGTCCAGTGAGACTGTGCGCAGTACCCAGACTCATCTCAGAACAGAGTGGTCTAAGTTGCTCTTGTGTTTGGAGGCGTGTGTCTTTATAAGATGTGCCTGTGTCCCCAGCTTCAGGAGATATTGCTGTGAGCCCCGACTTTGCAGGAGGCAGCACCCTGAAAGCCTTCACTTCCACTTTGAAAATGCATCCTGAGATCCTTCCCCTCAGACGAATCAAAACGTGCCATAAGCTCGGGTGTCACACCTGGAGCCCGTGCCAGCCCAGACAGGAACATGCACCATCCCCATGTTAATCATGTGTCCCCATGGTCCAGGAAGCTGCTGGTGCTGTGGAATCCATGTCCCAAGCATTGCTCCAGGGCTGTCGTGGGCCTCCGCCACAGCTGTGTGTGCCTATGTGGAAGTCACTGCTTGGTGGTTGGTTGTGTTTTGCCCCAGCTCCTGTTGACTGCACCGTGAAGTGCCTTGGCCTCCTCTCTGCCAGCCCTGCCCTCATCTGCCGAGCTCACTTCCTGTCCTGTCTGGCTGTGTTTTTGGGCACCGTCTCCATGAGTCTTGCCAGTTACTAGAGACCACTGTAAATGCCCATAGGCTCTCCCAGGGTTTCCAGCTGGGAGCTGCAGCTTTCTGGCCAGTGATGACTGGGTCACTGGGCTGTCTAATTTACTAATTAGGTTTTAGCCATTGTTTGTTTTGCTATTTCATCTTGCATTTTCTTTTTTTTTTTTAAGGTTTAGTTTCTTTTTTATTTGAAAGGCAAAGTTACAGAAAGAATGGGAGACATTTTCCATCTGTTGGTTTGCTCCCCAAATGGCTGCAGTGGCTGGAGCTGGGCCAGTCCAAAATCAGGAGCTTCTTTTGGGTCCCCCATGTGGCTGCAGGGGTCCAAGGACTTGGGCTATCCTCCACTGCTTTCACTGCCATTAGCAGGAAACTGGATTAGCAGTGGAGCAGCCAGGACATGAAGGAGCGCCTGTATGTGGTCTGGCACTGCAGATGGGAGTCTAGCTTACTACACCCATGCATTTTACTTTTCAAAGTCTTTCATGCATTAATGGCATCCCCAGTCCCAATCAGATTTTATTTCCTTCTCTATTACATATATTTTCTTAATTTTAATTTTTTTTTTCATTTTATTGGAAAGGCAGAGAGACAGAGGTCATATCCGCTGCCTCGTTCTCTAGGTGCCAGTGGCAGCTTGGACCGTTGAAGTCAGGACCTGGAATTGAGGCTAGCTGTCATGTGGGTGGCACTGCTGCAGGGTCAGCAGGAGGCTGCACTCTGGATGGAGCTGGGGCTGCACCCTGGCCCCAAAGCACGGGATGCCCGCCACCACGTGTCCACGCGGAGTCCTGACCGTTGGACAGGAGCCTCAGCCTGTTTTAGGCTAGTAGCAGTTTATTCTTCCTAGAACCAATGGAAATGAACCCTTACGCCCCACTGAGAAAGCACGTGTGCACGCAGACATGCACACACACACGCACACAGACACACACACAGACATGCACACAGACACACACAGACACACATGCACACAGACATACACACATGCATGCAGACATGCACACACAGACACACATGCACTGCACACAGACATGCACACATGCACACAGACACACACGCACAGACACACATGCACACACAGGCATACACACATGCATGCAGACACACATGCACGCAGACACACAAGCACGTGCACACACATGCACACAAGCACACACTCATGCACACACACATGCACGCACACACACATATTGCTTTCACAGACTTTTCATTGGAGGCTCTTTGTTTAGAGATCAATTTGGTCTCACATTTTTTTGGCTTCTGGCTTTCTTTTCCTGGTGATAATTGATTCTATGTCCTCATTAGTAAATGAATGCTGGGAGCCTGTGTGAACCTGGGCCGTTCCTAACAACACAGTGCGTCTGTGTCCAGGCTGCGGGTAGAGCTTTCTCCACGATTCCCCCTGATACAGTCACCCCCACCGCCATGCAGCTCCTGGTGCTGCCTGTCACCCCCCTGCCCAGGTACCTCCTGGTGCTGCCCGTCACCCCCACCGCCATGCAGCTCCTGGTGCTGCCCATCGCCCCATCCTCACAGCTCCTGGTGCTGGCCGACTTCTGTTCATGGCCCGTTTGGTTTCTCAGGAAAGAGGTGATGGGGCAGGAGGCAGCTCTTCGCTCTGGGATGGGGCACCTGGATGAGGCTGAATCCACCTTACGTCCTTATAGTGTCGAGTGAGTTCCGGTGCTGTGTTTGGTTTAGGCGTGGGCATGGAGGAGGAGGACAGTTCAGACAGAAACGTGCCAAGAAAGCCCCGCCCTGAGGTCATCACGTTCACTGAGGAGGAGACGGCGCAGCTGGCCAGGATCCAGCCCCAGGAGAGCGCCACGGTGTCTGAGAAGGTGCTGGTGCAGTCGGCTGCCGAGAAGGACCGTATCAGCGAGCTGAGGGACGAGCAGGCGGAGCTGGAGGCCGAGCCCAAGCATGCCAACTGCTGCACCTACTGCCCCAAGAGCTTCAAGAAGCCCAGCGACCTGGTGAGGTGAGGCCTGGGCGTCCTGTGCTGGTGGTTGCGGCTCCCACGCCGTCTTTGTGGAGGCTTGCCCAGTGGCTGCTGCCAAGGAGCTCCTGCCCAGCATCCAGCAGGAAGTCTGGGTGCTGGGTCGATTGCTGGGCCCGTTTCCTGTAATTTGGGATTGTAGTGAATGAGGATTTAGAGTTCACTTATTTTTTGTTTCTTTGAAAGGCAAATTGACAGGGTGACTGAAACAGATAGCAAGATCTTCCATCAGCAGGTTCACTTGCCAAACACTGCAACGGGTGGGGCTAGACCAGGGCGAGGCCGGGCGCTCCAGGTCTTTGGAGCTCGAGCCCCAGGCACTGGAGGTGTCACCTGCTCCTCCCAGGTTATGCATCAGCAGGAAGCTGGGCTGGAAGCAGCCATGGAGCTCAGTGCCTGGCCCCTAATACAGAATGATCGTTGACTTAGCCTGCTGCCCCTCAACGTGCAGCCCGAAGCTGACTTCCACATCATGGGAAACTGTGCAGAAGAGCAGTGGGCACCTCCTGCTCCCAGAAACTGCCGGCCGGGGCTCAAGGGAGATGGCAGGAGGCCGCTAGCCATGCAGCAGCGGTGGGCACCTGAGGTCAGAGTCCACTGGAAAGCAGCCAGGTGCCGGCCCTGCAGGGGCCCCAGGACAGAAGGGGTGGGAGGCATGCGCAGACTGGAGAGGCGAGAAAGCCGAGTGCACGTGTTCTGAGTGCTAGGACCGTTTCTGTAGGCATCAGGGATGCTCCGCTTCAGCTCTAGGCGACAGAGCAGATGAGTCATGATGGGGACAGCGCAGTGGCTGCTGCAAGGCATCACATAGCATGCCTTCATGGTGCTCCTGTCCCAGGACGGTGGGCCCAGCCAGGGAACATGGCAGCTGATAGCTGGCTTCATGCTTCTACATGCAGGGCGTGCGTTCAGAGACCCAGCAAGGGCGAGAGGTTAGAGAGGTGGATGGTGGGGTCTGAGAGCCATATGCATCTGCGTGTGCGCCTCTGGGCTTGAGTAATGGCTGCTGCCATGTGGTCCCATGCTGGGGACTGCAACCCTAGGAGAAGAGGAAGGAGTGCTCGGGCTGGGACTGCGCTTGCTGTCTTGTGACTGGGAGTTGTGTGGAGCCAGGATGGCTACAGAGTGAGGTGATGGAGAGTGGGTTTCATGTGGAGTTAGGTGGGGCCACAGAGAAGAGTTCTGCCAGTTCGGAAATGCTGGGGCAGCACGTGTGTTAGACACCTGCTAGGCTGAGACCTGTGGGTGGGCCGCGGGACAAGCAGGCAGTCAGGCTGGGACAGCAAGCACCCTGGTGTCTGCAGACACAGGGACGCGGGACAGGGGCACGTCTGCCCGGGCTCCCCGGGAGCTGGGCACAGCCTCTCCTGGATCTGGACAAGGGCAGCATCAGGAATCCTTTATCTGTGTTATGGTCGGACAGCCTGAAGCAAGCAGGGTTCTGCTCCCACAAGGGGCAGCCACTCAGATTCTCGTGGCTGTTCCTCAGGAGTGTTGACGCAGGTGTTGGCGTTGGCTTTGCAGCCAGCTCTGCCTCTCTGTTCCTGACTCCTGCCTCATCCACCTGCTCCTGCAAGCCTGTTCGAGTCCCTGTGGTGGCAGTAGCACGTGGATGTTGTGCCCTGTCAGTCCCCCCATGGGTGATGAGCTCTGGGTGCGCCCCTGCTCCGAGTGCTGCGGTCGGGTCACGGGCGGACGAGGCGGAAGCACCTCGGCCCCAGCCACTGCCTGTTCGGTCTGCTTCTCCCGTGACCTGGGCCTCGGCCTTGTTTCTGTGTTTCTGCCAGGTGCCTCCTTGCTGATTTGTGGGTACTTTTTGGTTTTTATGGAAATGACCCCTTTTTTTGGTATTTTGTTTTTTGCCTTTAACATATTTTTAACATATTTTGTTTTAACATATTTTTAGTTTATTAGTTTTCTTTGGAGTTTGCTTTGTTTTTGTATAGAGTGAGGTTCAATTTTTTTATATTTACTTTTTTGAAAGAGTATATATACAGAGAGAGATCTTCCATCTGCTGGCTCATCCTTGAATGGTCACGATGGCAGGACTGGCCAGGCCCACAGCAGGCTGGCTTTCCCACTGGACTCCGAAGCCAGGGCATGGGGCCATCTAGCATTCCTTGCCCAGGCACATCAGCAGAGAGCTGGGTCACACAAGTGGAGCAGCTGGGACTGAAGGGATGCCTCTCGTGCTGCACTGTAGCTCCAGCTGCTGGAAGTTGTTTCTTAATGTGTCTATAAGTAAACACTGACTTAGCCATGTCTTTTGGCTAGGCACGTTCGGATCCATACAGGAGAAAAGCCATATAAATGTGATGAGTGTGGGAAGAGTTTCACTGTAAAGTCTACGCTTGATTGCCACGTGAAGACTCACACAGGTAGGAAGCAAAGCCCTGCACCCGGGCAGATACTCGGCGACGTTCGTGTCATGGATTTAGGCATCCCTGTGTGTGGCAGCTGTGGTTCTATGGTAGGAATCAGCAAATGGATGTGAAGATGACTTCCTGGCAGGGAAGGTGGGCGTGGTGACAGAGGCAAACTCCTGTCTGTCTAGTTCGGCTATGACTTGCTTTGGGAGCCTGCCTGCCTGCAGAGCCCTGAGCCTCGTTGGGGAAGATTCCATTTGCCGAGGCTGCGAGACACCTGCAGCTTCAGCACAGCTGGCGGCAGCTGCCGGCCCTGGCTTTGTGGGGGGGAAACATCCTGTACAAGGAAGAGGTGATGTCTGACCGGCTGCCGTTGCCATCCTTTGGCCTGACACGAGCTAATCAGTGAAGCTTGGCATCTCCATTGTGCACAGCGCATTGCCGTGGCTCCAAGCCGGCTGCCACCTCTGCCCAAGTGTGGCTGCCACGCTGACTCCCCAGCCTAATGACCCCGGATAGGACCCTTGGTGTGTGCTGGCAGGCCCTCTCTTGGGGGTTAGGTGCCATTGAGTGGCCTCAGAAGCTCCCTCTGATTGCTGGGCTCATTCCCTGTGGGTCACGCAGTAATGGTCACCAGGGACTTGTGCACATGTGTGAGCCCTGTGGGTCACGCAGTAACGGTCACCAGGGACTTGTAGATAAGTGTGAGCCCTGTGGGTCACGCAGTAATGGTCATCAGGAGCTTGTGCACAAATGTGAGCCCTGTGGTCTCTCCCAGTGGGTAGATGCTTGCCACTGCATAGCTGGCTGTGCCAGTTTGTTGACCTGGCTGTTCTGTGTTCAGCTTTCCTCCCATTGCCTTTGCTTCTTGGGGCGAGTCTTTGTGTGTGACGCTGGGAACCAGCCTGTGATGGAAGACAGTGAGCTGTTCTTTGCACCCAGTGGGGTGCTCCTTATGGGGCCCCTGAGACCTGTGGTGCTCTGCACACCAGCTTCCTTGATTTGGGCTGTGGTTGCGGGTGGGGAGCAGGGAGAAAAGGCCTCAGTGCAAACACCTTTCCCTACCTTCTCCCCTGGGAAGCAAGAATGGGATTTCCGTGGCCCCGGGGCAGGATTGGAGCACAGCATTGCTAGCCCTGGAACAGCTGTGTCCTCCACCAGTAGAGGGGAACCAAGTGAGAGGCCCCCCAGGACAGCAGGGGTGCTACCTGGCGCTGTGCGGCAGCAGGCAGCCTGGGCAAGCTCCAGGAGGACCCTGTGTGGGGTGCAGTGAAGCTGGCCTTTGCGGAAGAGAAAGCGAGAGGGGCTGCAGCTCTCACTTGTACTTCGTGCAACCAGAAGGAAGTAGCTGCAATGCTGAGCCTGCTGAGTGGCCGCCCTGGTTGGGGCCGTGCTGAGTCCCTGCGATCAGCACAGCCTGCCCAAGCAAGCAGCAGCTTCTCAGAGCCCGGCGTCGGTGACGTTGACGGGCCCAGGGCGTTCACCTCCTTCCCAACTGCGGGGCGGCGGGGGCGGGCGGGTCGCAGCCATCACATCTCTGCTGACGCGGTCGGCTGTCTGCAGGTCAGAAGCTCTTCAGCTGCCACGTGTGCAGCAATGCCTTCTCCACAAAGGGCAGTCTGAAGGTCCACATGCGCCTGCACACGGGGGCCAAGCCTTTCAAGTGCCCACACTGCGAGCTGCGCTTCCGCACGTCTGGCCGACGCAAGACACACATGCAGTTCCATTACAAACCCGACCCCAAGAAGGCCAGGAAGCCTGCGGCTCCAGCGTGCTCCGAGGGCCTGCAGCCCGTCAGCCTGCTTGGCACCGCCTCCTCTGACCCCAGCGTGTTCATCATGAACAACTCTGTCCTCACTGGGCAGCTCGACCAGAGTCTGCTGCAGCAAGGGCTGGTGGGACAAGCTGTTCTCCCTGCCTCCGTGTCAGGTGAGCCCCGGGAGGCACCTCGCACCCTGCTCCCGGTGTTGCGCCCCAGGGACTGGGAGCCATGTCCCAGCCAGCAGGGCATGTCCCTTCCTCGCTCAGAGCCCAGCTTTGGGTACTGGCCCCTGCATCTGTCTCACCTGGTGTCCTCATGAATTCCACAGTGCGCCATGCAGTCACAGCACTGCTTCCTGCTGCATCCACTCATGGAGTCCCTGGTGTCACTAGGTCACAGAGCAGGCTGCTTCTCCTTCAGGCACAAGCGGCAGCTTCTAGTTGTGAATGGATGCCCTGCTGAGGGCCTCATGGTGCCCTAGACGCCCAACCACACTCAGAAATGCTGGCCCAGCAGTGGGCTTTCTGAGAGCCTTCTCTGATGTGTAAAATCAGTAATGTTACTATCTGTCACAGAGTGTTCTGTGTGTGGCACACATCAGTTCTTCATCAGGTGGTGCGCACATGCTGTGTGCAGCTTCCTCCTCTGGAAGTCCTTAACGCGGACACGCGTCATGCAGGCAGTGTGCCAGACGGCTGCTGCAGGCCCTGGCAGAAGCCAAGGTGGCTCAGGTGACGGGCCCCTGCTGCCCATGGCGGAGATGTGGATTGAGGCCTGGCCCAGCTCCTGCTGTAGCCGGCACTGGGGAAAGCCTGCAGATGGAGCCCTCCTCTGCTGTCCATCTCTCTCCTCCTCCCTCCTGTGTCTCTGCCTTGCAAATAAGCTTGAAGAGCATTGAAACAGAAGCCTCCCTGTAGGGCTGCCTGTCGTAGGAAAGCTTTCTGATGCTCACCACCCCCTCTCTCCTGGCTAGCTGGAGGTGACCTAACGGTGTCCCTGACGGACGGCAGCTTGGCCGCCCTGGAAGGCATCCAGTTACAGCTGGCTGCTAACCTAGTCGGCCCGAACGTCCAGATCTCTGGGATTGATGCCGCCAGCATCAACAACATCACTTTGCAGGTACGGCACCTGCCATCCTTCCCTGGGATGCCTACGGCGCAGGAGAGCGGGGCTCGTCCTGACAAGCACCTGTGTTACCTTGCAGATTGACCCAAGTATTCTGCAGCAAACGCTACAGCAGGGTAACGTGTTGACGCAGCAGCTTGCGGGGGAGCCTGGCGTGGCCCCGCAGAACAGCTCTGTTCAGGCCCCAGACAGCTCTGTTCCTGCCAGTGTTGTCATCCAGCCTATCTCGGGCCTGTCCCTACAGCCCACAGTGACCTCCGCCAACCTGACCATAGGCCCGCTGTCTGAGCACGACTCCGTGCTGACCACCAGCAGCAGTGGTAAGTGGGCTGGTTTGCTTCACCCTGGTTGGAGTCCCACGGGAGTGACTCGGGACACAGTGACCGCCTGTGGCCTCACGTCTCAACCTTGGCCCTGTTATGAAGGAGTAAGAATTGACTGCTGCCTTATTTCCAGTCTGTTTAAAATAGCAGTAAAGCGTGTTTGGTACAAAATGGGAAAATGTGTACTTTTAAAGCTTGATTTTGTTTTGCTTTGTAATACCCAGGGACACAAGACCTCACGCAGGTGGTGACCTCTCCAGGGCTGGTGTCCACCTCCACTGGTCCCCACGAGATCACCCTGACCATTAACAACTCGAGTCTGAGCCAGGTCCTGGCGCAGGCCGCCGGGCCCGCCACCTCGTCGGCTTCGGGGTCCCCGCAGGAGATCACCCTAACAATCTCTGGTTAGTAGATCGTGCGTGCGAGTGCGCCGCAATGGCGTCTTTATTCATCGCACTCAGTGGCACACGGAGCAATGCTCAACTTGTACGTCATGAGGAATACTCAAGTTTGGTGAAAAAATAATCTGATACAGTTCACACCCAGTCCTAAAGGTAAAAATGGTAGTTGGTCCTGTCACTTAGGGTTTGAGTCGTAATTTAATTCAGTAGTGTAGAGATTTGCCGTTTTCCTTGGTGAGGAGGAGGTGTCCTGAGTGCATGATTCCCCCCCATGTTCCATTCCGCTGAGGGGCGTGATCTGCGTGCCCTGGGACTGAACAGCCCCACAGTGCTGCTGCTGTCTCAGTCCCCAGCAGGTGTGTACAGCAGCTGAACACAGGGCACCCTGTCTCCGGCTGGGGGCTGTGGTGCTCTGAAGCCCACCTCCCTGTCTCCGGCTGGGGGCCGTGGTGTACTTTCTTCGCTATCAATGGACACACTTTGCTTCACCCTGGCAGGCCTCAGCTGTAAGTGCTTCTCACCAGCCGCATGCCCTGTTACTGGTGTGGATCTAGAAGGTCATTGATGAACATAAGAAAACCGCTTGCTGATGATCAAGATGCCGGCTGTGCAGATTCAGTGTGAGAGAAGTGATCAGGTTTCTCCAATGATGGGCAGGATAACCAGCCAGCCCCTCATCCCCCAGGGGGCTCCCCCAGCAGCGTCACCCTTCCCAGAGCCTCTGCCGCAGTTTACAGTGCTGTGGGCGCCGTGACGAGGTGTTCCTTAGCAGGAGCCGGGCGCCGTGACAAGGTGTTCCTTAGCAGGAGCCGGGCGCCACGCTGGGGGATGATGTCTTCATGGTTTCTGATCCGGGAGGCCTGTGGAGAGTTCGCCCTGAGGGAGCACTTTACTTTGGGGTAGCATGCCATGCTTAGGCAGCAGAAGCTGGCACCTGGTCTCCAGGAGGATTTGGAAACTATCTCATGGAACTATCTCATCTCATTTGGAAACTAGATCTTTCTAGAATGTGCAGGTTGCTTACCAGGAGGCAATCAGCAGGTGGTTTTGTTCCCATGTTTCTAGTTCTCATACTGCAGCTGGGGCTTGGAAGTGCGGCCCCTGGGTGTCCTGGGTCGTCAGCCGGCTTCCACACTGCGCACGGAGTGTGTGCTGGGAACTCTGGGAGAGCAGGCTCCGTGATGTCACAGAGTGCCCTAAATACATCTGTATGTGTTTTGACCATACTTGGCCAACTACTGCTCATGGAAGTATTTTCAATTCTGTGAAAGTTTTATTCAGCAAAGTTTGAAATTTTGATACTTAAATATTGACAAACAGTTGAACTCCTAAGAAGTGCTTTAAAATACAGCTTAAAGAGTGTGTGTCCATCCGTCATTTGGGGGCTGTCATTCACCTGTGTCCTTCTCTGTACATGTATTCACGGCGGTTCCCTTTCTGGGTACTTGTGTGATGTAGTTTCCAGTCACCCAGTGGGCATCTCCACCTGGGTCAGGACTTACTCTGCATGACCCAAATGCAAGTAGTAGACTCGGTCAGGGCAGTAAGACTGTGGGTGAGTGCAAGCCTTAACAATACCCAGTGCAATAGTGGGCAGCTAAGGACCTGTCTGGGAGCTGTGCCTCGAGGACTGGGGGACTGGCCTGGTCTGCAGTCCCACAGGCGTCTGGGCTAGCCTGCGCTCTGTGGGGCCGATGGCCTAGTGGGCTAGCCTGTGCTCTGTGGGGCCGGCAGCCTGGTGGGCTAGCCTGCGCTCTGTGGAGCTACTAACTTTGGCTCTATACAGTGGGTTGTGTGGACGCAGGCTTGTTGACTGCTTTCAAATGAATTTATCTCAGACTAGCATTTTTATTCCCACTCTCGGCCACTCTAAACTTAAGGTACTTTTGGTGACTGGGTGGAGTCTCATGGGAAATAGAGTGGTTCTATGCATAAGACGCCTTTGAAAGGTTCCTTAGCTTTTCTTCTAGACTTAGTGTAGTCCCTGCTGTGCTGTTTTCCCGTCTGCCTGTGGGCAGGTGGCCAGGCTGGTGGTTGCCTCCATTGTGGCGTGTTTGAATTCCTCTGGCATGTCTGCACTACTCTGGAAGCAGTGGCCCTCGACCCAGCAGGCTGCAGGCTGTTGGTTCTGTGTGCTTCTGCGTGTTGAGTGAGAGGCTAGCCCTGCTTGAATTTGTCTGGGAGTACAGTGGTTACAGAAAAGCAAATGGGAAACAGAAATGAGAAGTTACAACCTACAGCCTTTACATAGATGCTTGGTGCTCACATTCCTGTTGGGAATAATTGGGGGGCGACATTGTGACGTAGGATGTAAAGCCACCAGCTGAAATGCTAGCTTTCCATATGGGCGCTGGTTTGAGTCCCAGCTGCTCCGTTCTCCATCCAGCTCCCTGCTAATGAGTCTGGGAAAGCAGTGGGAAGTGGCTCACATGTTTGGGCCCCCGGAACCCAGTTGGGAGATCAGGAAAAAGCTGCTGGCTTCTGCCTGGCCTAACCCTAGCTGGTGTTGGTCACTGAGGCAGTGAACATACACGTGGAAGAGCTTTCGCTTTCTTTCTAACTCTACCTCTCAAATAAATATTTATTCATTTTTATTGGAAACGCAGAGTCACAGAGAGGACAGACAGAAAGATCTTCCATCTGCTGGTTCACTCCCCAGGACACCACAACAGCCGGAGCTGAGCCAACCTAAGGCCAGGAACCAGGAGCCTCCTCCGGGTCTCCCATGTGGGTGCAGGGCTCCAAGACTTTGGGCCGTCCTCTGCTGCTCTCCCAGGCCACAGGCAGGGAGCAGAGCAATTGGGACATGAACTGGTGCTCATATGGGATCCTGAAGCTTGCAAGGTGAGAACTTAGTTAATGAGCCATCACACCACTCTGCATAAACAGATCTTTTTTAAAGACAAATATCTAATTGAGTGTTGGAGCTGTAGCTTCTAGGGACAGACCTGTGGTCTGGCAGTTCAGAGACCCACGTCCCCTGTGGGCATGCCTAGGTTCAGCTCCAGCCTCGGGTAGCCAGCAGCTGTGAGAGGCATTTGGGAGGGAACTAGTATCAAGAGTTCTCTCTCTGCGCCCTCAGTGAGCTGGTGTGGTTGGTTTTCCTTTATAGTATGGCTTGTAGAGCTTTCAGCAGATGTATGCTTAGGAGCTGCTTGTAGCTTGTGGAGTAGCTGGTGTGTGCTCAGGGATGTTCCCACGTCTCTTTCCTCTAGTCCCACATGCTGTCCAGCAGGTTGAGGTCTGTTTTCCTGCTCTGCCCCGTGATTCCCGGCAGGCTGGCCCTCTGTGAAGTTGTCTCGCTCCCTGTACTTGCTTCCCAGGGCCCTCGGCGGAGTATCCAGGACATCTCAGAGCCTGTCCTGTCAGCCCCGTCCTGTGAGGGGATGTGGGGGGATCCTGGGGTTCGTTTCCAAGGTAAGGCAGAGCAGGCAGGCACTGTCTCTGCTTGGCTTTGGTGGGTTTCTGTGCGACCCTGGTGAGGCTTTACAGGGGAGCGCCCTCCCTCTGCCCAGGTCTCCTGGGCATCTGTGCCCACCAGGCTCTGCTGAGGCGGCTGTGCAGGGTTAGTTAGTGGCTAATGTTCGTGTGACTGTGGAGTGATGCTACGTGCTCACAGGAGCTGGGAAGTGCGTGGGGAGCATGGTTCGCCACGAGGTGCACGCAGGCATCCTCCACACATCCACATTCCCCTCCTGCCATGCATGTCACAGAGTCGGCTCTGCCTGTGCGGGACACCATGGCAGGCGGGAGGGGGCTGGTATTTTGTTTGGAAGTTTTACTGGGGAACAGCCTTCAAGTGGATGATGGGGGTCATTCACGGCCAGGTGGCCGTGTGCCTTTTTGTGTGTGCGTGTGCTGTCACTGTTGGGCCTACCCCAGGGCGCGGACGGTCCCAGGCCCAGCTCAATGGCCGGGGCCACGCGTGGTGTCTCTTGTACAGAGGGAAGGCCTCTCCTTGCCCCCCGCTGCCCCCTGCTGCCCCAGCTGTCTTCCGCTCTTCCTAAGTGTCATGCAGGATTCGTGAGGCTTCTGATTGCCTGTGGTGCAGTAAGTGGACACTCAGGGCTTGGAGTGACGGATGAGTAGAGCTGGCCAGGCCTGTGCATTTGCTGAGGAGGGTATCACTGCTCGTAGGACCGGCTCGGCTGCCGCCTCGGGCTGCTGCCCGTGCTCTCTGGCGCTGCAGTTCAAGGCCCAGGGCTACAGCGGTGGCTATCCTAGGACCCGACAGAAATGCCACATCTCCCCTTTGCTCTCATGGCGTCTTCCTTGCGTGCCCACTCGTAAGAAGAGCTTCATCCTAGAATTGGGGTGAGAGCCCAGGACTCTGGGGCGCTGTGTTGGCAGCACTGGTCGATGCTCAGGCTGCGTTTGTGCCCTCAGGCAGGCTGCTGACGTGCGTGCCCACTGACGTACGTGTGTGTTGGCCTTTTGCAGAGCTGAATCCTGCAAGTGGGAGCCTGCCTTCATCCACACCCATGTCCCCGTCAGCCATTTCCACTCAGAACCTGGTCATGTCTTCATCGGGTGTTGGGGGAGATGCCAGCGTGACACTGACCCTGGCGGACACTCAGGGCATGCTGTCGGGAGGCCTGGACACGGTGACACTCAACATCACATCTCAGGTGAGCCCTGGCCTTCTCGGAGAGGGGCCTTCCTGCCCTTTGCTGAACGTAAATTCTGGACATTTCCTTCCAACTTCAGGTGTTGTTTTTTCTACTTAAAGAAAGCATAAGAAATACAGAAGAGCAGTGGGCTCAGTGAGCACCCAGTGAGCACCCAGTGTCCCACTGCTGTGGAGCCAGTGAGCACCCAGTGAGCACCCAGTGAGCATCCCGCTGCTGTGGGGCCAGTGAGCACCCAATGAGCATCCCGCTGCTGTGGGGCCAGTGAGCACCCAGTGTCCCCGCTGCTGTGGGGCCAGTGAACACCCAGTGAGCACCCAGTGTCCCCGCTGCTGTGGGGCCAGTGAGCACCCAGTGAGCACCCCCAGTGTCCCCGCTGCTGTGGGGCCAGTGAGCACCCAGTGAGCACCCAGCATCCCGCTGCTGTGGGGCCAGTGAGCACCCAGTGAGCACCCAGTGTCCCCGCTGCTGTGGGGCTAGTGAGCACCCAGTGAGCACCCAGTGTCCCCGCTGCTGTGGGGCCAGTGAGCACCCAGTGAGCACCCAGCGTCCCCGCTGCTGTGGAGCCAGTGAGCACCCAGCGTCCCCACTGCTGTGGAGCCTGCTCTTGCTCGGTCGTGTGGCAGCTTGGGGGCCTCAGCATGAGGGTGTGCTGCACTTGGCACATGTCCAGATCCAAGGTTTGAGCAGTGGGCGCTGGTTGCCCTCACCCCAGAGTGTGAGGGGAGCTAAGTGCTGCATGCCCAGTGCGCCAGGTCCCTTCTCCTGTGAAATGAATCCTTGTAGAGGCGGAGTCATTACCTTGTGCCTGGGAGCTCAGTGGTGGTGAGCGTTCAAGCTCAGACTGCTGGCGTGAGTGTGGCTGCAGACTGGTGAAGCTCCTGAGGGCGCAGCTCTGACAGAATCTAGCCCAGCATTTTCTGCAGCTCCAGTTCCCACTCGCATTCATGGACAAAAACATACAAAAGTAACATGCTTATTATTTATTATATATGTTAGGAAGATTGTGTCTTTGTGAAATCTAAGAAAGGAAATAGTTGTACAAGAGAATTGGCCTTATGGAATATTCTTAAGTTTAACTATGGGCAAAGTTGAGCCCGTAAAAGTAAAAAGTTTGGAACAAATATGTTTTTGTAAGGCTCTGATTAATCCTGAGTTAAATCTGAAGAGGGCCCAATTGCAGAGCATTCTGTTGGGTGAATGAGAATTCTAGACCAGGGGCAGGTAGTTCACTTTGAAATATGATTTGTTCAAGTTGAGGCTGAAGTGCAGGGATGAGACTTATATTGACCATACAAGTGATTTTGGAGGAAATGGTGCCAGCGTACCAGGCTGTGGAATTCTCTTGCTCAGTAGGCAAGCCAGGAGGCCTCATGTTCCCAAGCTTTGCGCAGCTGTGGGGTGGAGGGGCAGTGGAGGCCTGACTGCCCCAAGTTAGCCAGCAGGTGCCAACATGCACCTCGGCCAGCCTGGGCAGGACCTGGCTACAGCCTACGGCTCCTGCGATCTCTCACCTGATTCCAGCGCACTGATGTGGGTGAGATGTGGAACCGTATGATTTAGACTTGGAAATGTGACTTTCCTGGTCATAAGTGGGCCGCGAGTCTCCCCTCCAGGACACAGTGACTGCAGGGACCAGCTCTCACTGCTTAGGGCTGCCTCCTTGTGGAGCGCTTCTTGTTCCCCTCCTCCACAAGTCAATGCTGGTGACAGCAACGTGTCCTCTGTCTGCATCAGTGTCCTGGTGGGCTCTCTGAATAGTTAGGTGTGGCTGGCTCCCCATGCCGTGTGGCCATGTGGATGTCCTCTTTGTGCTATGCTGCGTGGCCCGTGGGGCTGGCCCTCCCCGTGCTGCGTGGCCCGTGTGGCTGGCCCTCCCTGTGCTTCTTGCATTGCCTGTTTATGATGAATTAGTCGCTTGCGCAGCACAGGGCTCTTTCCACCTTCTGGCCGCATGCTTCCTGCCGCCATGAGCATAGGCGCCGTTCTTCAGTGAATGCAGGCACATCTCTTGGTTTGCTGGGCTGTGTGATAACTCTACAAGTGGCTGCCCCTTAACATATCTGAAAATTTGTTTTGGCTTATAGCAATAAGCAGTGTCTTTCCCAGGGCCAGCAGTTCCCAGCATTGCTCACGGATCCTTCTCTGGCCAGCCAAGGAGGAGCAAGTTCCCCGCAGGTCATATTGGTGAGCCACACCCCGCAGGCGGCAGGTGGCTGCTGTGAGGAGCTGGCCTACCAGGTATAGTACACCCGCCACTCGTACACTGCAGATTTGGGAGGGCTGGTGACAGGGTCATGGGACAGTTGTGGCCTCAGCAGCTGGCTGGCCTTCAAGGATGTGTCCCGCAGCCAAGGCCAGCAGTGGGAGGTCCTGTGTACTACAGTGACCCGGCTGCAGGGTGGCATACTTGGCCTGTCTGCCTCCACTGAGCCTGCTCTGTGCTGGGTACCAGCTTCCTGCAGAGGGCACACTTGGCCTGTCTGCCTCTGTGCTGAGCACCAGCTTTCTGCAGGTGCAAAGCCTGGGAGGACAGCTGACGGCCTGCGTGCACGGTTGGGTCACTGCTGTGCACACGGCAGACCTGCACTGAGTTCTAGGTTTTTGGCGGCGGCCCAGCCCAGCCCAGCCGTGTGAGCATCACTGAATGAGCCCCTAGAGGCAGAGCTTGCTCTCGTGCGTGCTTGCTCTCACTCTCTCTCATCCATCACTGGCGTCAGGAAGTGTGGCCTAAGCCCCATGTTACAGTGCACTCCTGCCCGCAGGAGTCTGGCTATGAGGGCAGCCCGTGCTGACACTGCTGAGGGTGTTGGCTCGTATGTTCCAGGTGTTGTGCAGCCATCTCTGCAAGGGATGGCCCCCGTACCCTCTCACAGTGACACAGCTGCCTCCTGGCCCTGTCACAGCCCCCAGCACTCACGTGCTTTGGAGAGTGCCCCTCGCTGGGATGGAGCCTCATCCTCTTGTAGGAAGAAGGCTGCTGCTTGGGGACCAGGAGCCTAAGGCTGCCTTCTTTCCTCAGTACTTTGTTTTTTTTTTAAGATTTATTAATTTTTATTGAAAAGGCAGTTTTACAGAGAGAAGGAGACACAGAGAGGAAGATCTGTCTTCTGGCTCAGTCCCCACGCCAGTGCTGGCTGTTCCCATTGCCAGTCCATGTTGGGCAGGTGCTTGGCCAGCTGATGGTGTCACCCCCTGCTGCCAGCTGTAGGGGTCCAGTGCACAGCCCAGCAGCCAGGACAACAGCAATGCGGCTACACTCTACAGTGCGCATGGCTGGCTCTGGCTGTCCCTCATTTGTTCAGATCTTTCTCGGTCAGTCCATTCCCACTGTCCCTGGCCAGCCTTGCCCAGGGTGATGGAGGTGAGCTGTAGGCTAGCATGTTCTCTTGCAAGTGGCCCTGCTGTGATTGGTGATCTGTTGCTGTGCTCAGTGCACACCAGATGCCAAGAGTGGCGAGTCACAGCATCTCTGACTGTTGCAGGTGACCGATGTCTCGGCTACCTTGGCCCAGGGCAGCCCTCCCGAGAAAGAGGGCCGCATGCGCCAGTGCCTGGAGTGTGACCGCGCCTTCTCGTCAGCTGCCGTGCTCCTGCACCACAGCAGGGAGGTGCATGGCAAGGAGCGCATCCACGGCTGCCCCGTGTGCAGGAAGGCCTTCAAGCGTGCCACGCACCTCAAGGTAAGGCCCTGGCCTCCTTGCAGCGTGCAGCTCTCCGTGCGGGGCTCGGCCGTGGCAGGGCCCGGGCAGTGCATGGGAAGCGGTCATCTCCTCACCCGCAGGTCAGCACCAGTGTCAGGTGAGCTGGAGTGACTCTGGCAGCCTCACCTGTCTGACACTGTCCCTGGGGTCTGGGAGCAGATTTCTGGGTGGGACAAGCACAGCTGGGCACTCAGGGCACCAGCTCTGCACAAACTCTGCTTGGTGCTTCTGGCTGTGGCCCCTGGTGGCAGCTGCCCCTGGGAGTCACCGTGGGAGGCAGCGGAGGCAGAGCCCAAGCCTGTGCCCTGCAGTCTCCAAGGTTTTGTTCGCCGCCTCATGTGTGTGTGTGTTCCCCTGCACTGTCTTATGTCTTACCAGGAACACATGCAGACGCACCAGGCAGGCCCTTCCCTAAGCTCCCAGAAGCCCCGAGTGTTCAAGTGTGACACCTGTGAAAAGGCCTTCGCCAAGCCCAGCCAGCTGGAGCGACACAGCCGCATCCATACAGGTAAGGGTGTGGTGCTTCTCGCACATGTGCTGCCAGGCACGGGACCACACCTTCCTGCTCCCCTAAAGCTGGCTCCGGTGTCGCTGTTGTTGCCCCTTCACGGTGGATACACGCACCATAGACAGGACCTCTCCCTGGCCTCCAGGCCTCGGCACTGTGCCTGCCCCTGGCAACTGCTTCTGCCCTTAATTTTCTGCCCCATTCTTGCCTTCTTTCTGTGTCAGCATGTCACTGCACCAGAGGTCCCCCAGCCACACCCACAAGGGCTGGGCAGCTCCTGGTCTTTCTGCTGCCCCGTAGCCATGGCTCCTTCACTGGCACCTGGTATGGCCACTGCAGGCCCTCCTCCTGCAAGGACTTTGTCTCTCAGCACATCGTCATCCCCAGCCCTGTCTCCTGGCTGTGTCCTGATACACAGAGCAGTTCCCTAGGGCATCTCCTCTGGGTCCCCCGACCCCTCCCTTGGGTGCCTAACGTCTCCTCCAGGCTCTGAGTCAGCCCTGAGCTGAGGCCTGGGCACCTGGAGCCCATGTGTGTCCAGTCCAGGTCACTTGCTGCTGTCATTGTGCCTTATCCAGTGTGTACTTAACATCTGTACGTGGAGGGAGGTGCTGTTTGCCGGGAGAACGGCTTAGCTGTGTGCTTGGCAGGGTTCCTCTGTCGGGCCTGCTGTGTGTAGTGAGCACAGGCTAAGCTGTCGGTGTGGAAGTGCAGGTGCTTCAGTTGACTGGAGATCTGTGTGCTTTAGTAAAGATTTCAATTTCTAAAGTTCTTACAGTCACTGTCCCTACCTCACATGCCTGGGCAGCTATAGCCAGGCTGGGACCAGGACGTGGCCCTCAGTGGGTGTAGCGTCCCACATGCCTGGGTCGCCACTGCCACCCCCTCCGGGCTGCACACAAGCAGGCTGCTGCACGCAGAGGTGCTGGTGCTCAGCAGGCATCCTGTACGGAGTGCAGGCGTCCAGGCAGCGCCGGGTGCCTGGCCAAAGCCGCTCCTCATGCCATGCAGTGGTGGAGCTGTTCATGTTGGTGTCTGGTGTTGTTAGTGCTGCTGGGGATTTGTTGAGTTTCTATTTTAGTCCTTGTGACTCAAGATGATGGGTAGCTCTGCTGCGCTGTTACCTTGCAGCCAAGAGAGTCCTGGAGACTGACGTGGGCTCCAGGCTCTGCATGTCACTGTGTGTCACCGTGTGTCGCTGTGTGTGTGTCACTGTGTGTGTCACTGTGTGTCACTTTGTGTGTCACTGTGTGGCTGGTGGACCTCATCCCAAGTGTTACCTGTGAAAATTGCTTTCTTTTTTTCTCCCTATCTTTTGAAATGTAAAAGAATATTTTCCGTTGCTGGAAAAGGCAGTGGGACAAGAGTCAGTGTCCTCTAGTTCCTTCAAGGCCCGCGTCAGCAGGACCTGTGCTGAGCTGCGTGCCAGGAATCCACTCAGGCTTTCCACGTGGACACTAGCTGTCCAGCGCATGCCCTCAGAACATGTTGACATGCTGGGAATGCATGATTGCGTGGGCAGAGGAGATCCTAAGTTCCCCAGAGTCTCCTGGTCCACGGTGGCTTGGTTCCTTCTGAGCTTGCTGCTTGCAGCTCTGCTTGGGGACTGACGCCCATGTGTCCTGACCCAGCCTCTCTCAGTCCCTGCAGCCCCGCTGGTCTCATGGGACCCTGAGGACAGGCTAGCCAGATGGGCACGCTTAACTGCTGAGACAGGGCAGGGGAGGGGCGGAGCAGGTGGAGTTGGGCTGGTGGGTGTGCACAGCGGAGGCAGACAGCAGGCCTGGCGCCCCATGCTTCCCCTCTTCAGGATCCCTGCTCCCTGGAGAGCGCTCCGTGGCACTGACAGACGCCGCCGTCAGCCACTGAGTGGGTTTGCATTTCTTGTGTCCCCAGTCTCCCCATTTGTTTTAGCCTGTGCGTGCTTGCTCCTCATCCTGGAGGTGTGTGCTGCCACGAGGCCCCATGAGGCCCCACGAGGCTTCTCCCGTCTCGGCACCGAGTGGCTTCACCAGAACGCTTGAGTTGGGGTGGCAGTGACAGCAGCCATCAGAGCAGTGGCAGCCGGCAGCTCGTCACTGTGCTTTTCACAAAAGGCCTTCCTTGGGGCTGGAATTGGGGTGCCTCAGGTTAAACTAGTGCTTGCGACACTGGCATCTGTGTCAGAGTGATCCCCTTCTGATCCAGCTCCCTGCCAGTGTGCTTGTAAGAGCAGGGACTTGGGCCCCTGCCACTCACTGCGGAGACCCAGGTGGCATTGAGGGCTTCCGGCTTCCGTCTGACTCAGCCGCAGCCGCTGCCACTGGGGAGTGAAACAGTAGATGGAAAAATGCCCCCCCCCCCCCTCTCTCCTCTCTCCATCACTCTGCCTTCCTAAGAAAGTAAATTTTGTCAAGAAACAAACAGTGGCCTCTGCATCGGAGTCGGTCTGGGTGAGCTGACCAGCCTTTGCTTGCAGGGGAGCGGCCCTTCCACTGCACGCTGTGCGAGAAAGCCTTCAACCAGAAGAGCGCGCTGCAGGTGCACATGAAGAAACACACGGGCGAGCGGCCCTACCGTTGCGGCCACTGCGCCATGGGCTTCACGCAGAAGAGCAACATGAAACTGCACGTGAAGCGGGCACACAGCTACACAGGTGCGTGCCCTGTCACCCACACCCCTGGCATTGAGCGCCTCTCTGGCAGGATGTACGCTGCCCCCACACCACACCTGATGAGAATGCGGGTCTGCTTTGTTTTGGCAGACAAGCAGAGTGGCCCCCAGAGCCTGCATGTGCTCAGGACGCAAGAGGCTGGGGTGTGCTGCTGCCACCCGGGGGCCACGGTGTGCAGGCCAAGCGGGGAGTCAGGCTCTTGTGCCCTGGCCTCCTATCCTGACCCCATGCTGCCTGGCACCGATCCAGGAAGGGGCCGGGTAAGCATGCCAAGGAGGTCACATGTGCAGGAGTGTGTTGCACACAGGTGTGGTTGTCTGCGAGTCCTGAGTGGGTAGACCTGGGCTGGGGCGCAGGCACTGCATGCAGTGGCACTCTGCTCGCCGTCCTGGCGGGCGGCCGTGGGGAAGGGGTGAAGCAGGCGTTCCCCGTCTGGGCCCCGGGGACGCATCGTCTTCCCTCACAGTCTGAGCCCTGCCTGCCCTTTCTCTGCATCCCAGGAGCCTTGCCGGAGTCCACGGGGCCCCAGGAGCCAGACGGAGAGGTGCTGCGGACACTGCACTTGGAGGAGGTGGTTCAGGAGGCTGCGGGCGAGTGGCAGACGCTCACCAACGTGTTTTGAAGCCGCCAGCTGGGCGTGTGCAAGGACCCTGGCGCACGGCAGCGGCGTGGTGGAATGCCTGTCTCAGGGCTTCAAGCGTTCAACACGCGGGCGTTTTTTAGCTACATGGTTACCTACCAAATCATTGTCTATCTGAGACTGAGAGGAGGGGAGCTGGGAAAGGCATGGGTGTGGCACCATGCCCCATCTACAGATGGCTGAACTCAGGGTACACGGGAGGCTGTCCTGTCCGCCGCTCCGCAGCCAGCGTGCCTGCTTAGGGCAGAAGCTGATCGATTCGTCCTATCATTGTCACGTGATTCCTCGAATTGGCAAAGACAGAAGTGACCACGGACGGGGCGTGAGGTGCCCGTCGTGTTTTCTGCTAGGAGAAGTGTAGCTTACGAGACAAGCCTAAGCTAGGTGAAGCTCGAAGCAGTGTCCCACCGCACGGGGGATTGCCAGTTTTTTCTAAGAAGTTGACTGTGTAATCGCCGGAAGCGAGCGTTGAGCAGCAGTTTGAGAGCCGGCCGGCCCAGCGCTCTCCTTCGCACATCTCAGCCCCTCAGAGCAGTGGAGCTGCCCCGGCCAGCCGGGCCCGGGCCTGCCGCGGGCGGGAAGGGAAACACGCCACAAGCCATCTGCGACAGGTGCGCCCCGGCTTCTCTCCCTGGGGGTGTCTCTTATTCAGGGAATTCTTAGTATCATCAGTGGTGCCACAGGAAGCATGTCCCAGACTCAGCCCGACCCACGCTCGGCCACGCGGCCTGCCAGAGCTGGCAAGGGCCTCCCCTCCCCCGCTGCTTCTCCCCTCCCCCACGGTTATTTATATGTTGTGTACATAGCCAGCCTCGTCCGGGCGGGCCGGGCCTGGGCCGCACCGGGGCTGTGTAAATAGGTCCAGGGGCGCACTCCTGCCCGCCAGCACTTCAGCCAGTATTGCGTTCTTTGTCCTGCTAAATGGGTATCTTCCACTGTAATATAAAGCTGGATTTCATTTTATTTTTATTTCCTGGGAAATAATTGCCTTTATTTTCTGTCATTGCTTCCTGGATTTTGAAGCAAGTGGTTGTATTGTACATACGTGTGCACTCTGGAGTCGGAGAGAGCTCGTTGCGGACTGCACGGGCAAGAGGCGTTCCGTGGCTTCCGGGCGTCTGCTCGTGCTGGCCTTCGGCATGTGTACATACGTAATATTGATGGTGATATGAAAACTTTTGTTACGTGAAGATATTTAAGTCGGAAAACTGTTAAATAATATTACTTTTTTCCAAACTGCTTTGTGTATTGTATATTTTTTTAAGAAAACAGAAGCCTTATTTGACTTATTCGAAGCCCCGGCCTTTCCCCGAATGTCAGTGTGTGCAGCTGGCTCTCATCAGAATGTTCAGAAAAACTGTCGTTGCGCTAGAATTTTAAAGGTTCTGCTTTTAATGCACTTTCTTTCTTTATAATTTTGTATTAAGATTTTTTTAAAATGTCAATTTTGGTGAACAAATATTCCCTCAAAGTTGCAATTATTGGAATTTAAATTTTTCATTGTTGCTGGACTATTTATTTTGCTTTTAGCATTCAATGCCATCTCAGGACACCTCTTCACAAGGTGGTTTGACTTCCAAATTGTATAGAAAGCCTCGTCGGGTGAACTGTGTTAATTCATTGTGCCTGTGTCAGGCCTTAACAGGTGAAGCTAAAGCCTGTTTTTAGTTTGCCTAAAGAAAAAGAAATCTTTCAGTCAGCTGATGTATGTCTTCTCTCAGATTCTTGACAGCCCCACACGAGACAGTCCCTTCTTGGTCTGACCCACTGCCTCAGCACCTGCAGATGTGAGGGTTTGAAGAGATGGGATTCACTTGAGTCCTGTGGTTTCCGGTTCGTCTGTGTGCTGTCCTGACTGAGCGGTCCGCTAGCAGGGGCTTCCAGCTGTGTGCATGGTTCTGAAAGCTGTATTGCAGAACTATCTCTTCGTATCAGATCTTCCTTGGAATACCTGTGAATTTTAAAATGACATTAGGAAATGTGATTCATGTCTTTTCTCTAAAAATACTACAGGCAGAATAACAGTTCATTGTGTGAGTTAATCCCAAGGTCGGGCACGTTTCATAGAGAATTGGAGTGTTATTTTCCTTACCTCCATGAAGTCTGGGCAGGGCATGGTTGTCCTGCGGCCTGATGCCCAGGGCCCATGCACAGTCCCAGCTGTCTCCAGTCGCTGTGGCAGACTGTGCCTCGCTGTCACGGCCTTGACATTCGGAGCTGTCTGTTACCCCACCATCATGGTGAAATCATTGCTGAACACTCCGTAAGCTGGAAGGAAGGAGTCCCAAAGACACTCAACTCAGGTGCAGTGTGTGGCCGCGGCCACAGTGCCACCGTGCAGCCCAGCTCCTCCCTCCTGCTGCATGGCCTCCGGGAGTCAGCCAAGTGCCCTGCCTGCTGGCCACGGGTGGCACTGCAAGGCTGAGACATGTGCAGCGGGGGGGCCCAGCGCACCAGTGCTGCCCCAGCTGTCCCTAGGTGTCTGCAGCCTCCTGTGTTGGGCTTAAAGCCCAGCTCGTGTCCCTTTGGCCTCCCTTGACACGATGGCCCCAGGTGCCCTTGTTAGCGCAGGTGCGAACTTCCTGGAAGTAGGTGTCGATTCCTCCCGTTCATCCTGGAAGATTCGTCACTTCCTAAGCTAGACACTTTGACTGGAAAGGCCCTTTGTGGAGTGACGTTTTCTTGAAGGAAATATCAAAGATACAGAGAACTGCTTCCTATTGACTATCATTTAGGGATGTCTCATGCCTGCTTCTTACCCATTTCCCCTCAAAGCTTAATACTGTGTCCTCACCTCTCCAGAAGAGTTACCAAGTGATACTCATTGCTGATTTGCTGTTTTTAAAACCTGTTGCATAGAGAGTAAGGCAGTAGTTGAACTTTTACAGTTGACTCTCTTTTTTTTGAAAGCTGGAACAATAGAGGGGGGGACACACCTGGAGCTCATGCCTGCTCCTCCTAGCCAGGTGGTGGCAGCGGCCAGGGCCAGGCCAGGAACACAGCCAGCCAGCTTTCCAACCTAGCCCATCTTCTCCTGCCTCACAGCTGTGGCAGGAAGCTGGAGCAGAAGTGGAGCAGCCAGACCTGGAGCGAGGACCCCAGGATGGAATACGGGTGTTGCAAGGAGCAGCTCCACCCGCCAGGCTTGGGTGACATAAAGGCCTTTGCGTTTGCTCTTCTGTTTGTTTTTGTTTGCCTTGTTTTAATATAACATTTCAAAAGAACACACTTAAGGGGCAGTCTCTCGGCCCGCCAGGTCTGCACTTTGTTCTGATAGGTCCTGTCTGCAGTGCGAGGCAGCTCCACTTTGCTTGGCCGGTTCCCAGAGCAGGCGTCATGCTCCATCACCTCCTGTCCCCCCCGAGACGCACAGGTGCACGCACAGGCCACATACAACACAGAAATGTTGGGCTAGTGTTTGGGGTTTTTCCCTAAGAAAGACTAATGCATATTGAAGACACTAAGATATGAAGATTACAAGAAATGCCGGGAAATGGGTGGTAACATGAAAGATTTTGCTATTTAATCTTTTTTATGTGTAACCCATTACAGCATGAACACTTTTGTATTAAGCTGAGATTTGTATTCTCCTTGACAGATTCTAAAATGGCATAGTGATTTGTCCTTAATTCACCACGAAAGAACATTTTTAATTTTTTTTTATTTACCGAAAAGCTCTTTGTATCTTGAGAATTGTCTCATGGTCTATTTATACATTGGATGATATTTATTTAATCCAATTTTGTATTAGAAATGGATAGTTATACCAAAAGCCACTGTGGTGGCTTTAAGAATAATAAAAATAGTTTTTGTATTATTTTAAAACTCCTGTACATGTACTTCTTTGGGCGTGGGGTCAGCTGAGGCTGGCGTGCCGGTGGGACCTGGGCACCGGCATGGCTGTCCCCGGGCTTCCTGAGGACTCTCTGCCCTCTCGTGATGGGAGTGGCCTGAGAATCCCTCCCTGGCACCTGTGCTTCCTGCTGTGACGTCAGGACACCGGGCTTTCCCAGGTGCATCACTGTGAGTTGGTAGTGTCCACTTGCTCCAGGAGTGCGGTGCTGCAGACGCTCGTGACAGGCACCCCCCAAGACGAAGCGTGAGAGAACATGACTCCCAAGCATGGCCCAGGGACGGAGGCTTCATGCAGTCAAAGCTCCCCGTGGTGTTTCCCCATCTGTGACTTGGGGACCCGCAGGGGCACCAGCCGTCTCTACTCCCAGGAAGCTGCTGGAGTTGCTGACGAATGGTTCTCACTTGGCTCTCAGCACCTCCGGTCCAGACACAGGACACAGGTCATCTGCGTGATGGAAAATCAAAAAACCACCACTGTGTCACACGTGGGCACTGCCTGGGAGGACACACGCCACTGTGCCGCACGTGGGCACTGCCTGGGAGGCATGTGGGCACCCCCTGGGAGGCACGTGGGCAGCCCCTGGGCATGACACGGCAGAGTGAGTCTGCATTGTGGATGGTCGGTCACCCAAGGGGACACTTGGCGTGCAGAGGCTGTGCTTAGGGTTTGGGCAAGTCCTACATCATTTCCAGGGAGGGATGTGGGCAGCCGCAGTTCAGTGTTCTTGGAGAGGACATCCAGGAGGGACCGTGATGATGATGATGGTGTCATAGCCAGGTCCCCACCCCTTGTGTGGACATCTCAGAGCTGCTGGCCTGCACTCTGTCAGGTGGCTACAGATGCCACTCTGGTGGTACAAACGCTGGCTGCTGAGTTGAGGCAGAGCCAGCTGTCCCCACGGTCAGTGTCCCAGCCGAGACCAGGCAGTCCTATCTGTCCACCCACTTCCCTGTAGGCACACACAGATTCTCTTTCTCTCTCTCTCTCTCTCACACACACACACACGGTTCCCTACTGGGCTGCCTCCCCTTCCTCCATCTCTCACATACCCCGGCCTGGTCCACACAGGTGCCTGGCAGGTTCAGCCGCCTTGGACCCTTGGGGTCTCATGCTCACAGAGCCGCTCCTGGGAAGGCACAAGACTCCTTGCGGGTGAAGCACAGAATTCCTCGTGGCTCTCCCCCTCGGGAAGCCCACAGCAGAGCTGTCCAAGCACGAGCTGAGTCTCAAGGGAAAGTGCATGTGTGTGCGCGGGGGCCTGTCACTCCTAGGTCAGTGTCTACATGTGGAAGTGCAGGTGCTGCCAGTCCACCAAGACCCCCACCATCTGTGCACCTGCCTGCCCACCAAGCTTGGGGAGCTCAGCCCTGGCCTCTGCCATCTCTGTTCCTCTGCTGGTTTCCTGCCAGTCCCGCATGTTGGTGAGCTATGGCCATACCTGCTACCCCCTGGGGGGAAGGAGTTAACACGGCTGCCCGCGCCATCCGTGACTGCTGTTCGCTTACAGAGTTAGGGGTGAAGGTAGGCCATGAAGACCCTCCCCAGGCAACAGGGTTGGTATCAAACGGAGTCCACGCTGGCTTGCTCAGGACAAGTCAGCCACCTGCAGCTCAGCCTGGTTGTGGCTGCAAGGGGCTGGTTGAGCACAGCCTGATAGAATGGAACTGGTGGGGAGGCAAGCGCGGGAGCTGTCCGCAGAGAGGATGCTGGCTGAAGCCGCAGGAGGAACGAGGCGCACCCAGGGCCGCTGGTCCCAGCTCTGCAGAGTGTGGGGAGCACAGTTCTTTTTCTCGCACACAGCCCAGGCCACTCTGCCATGCAGTGCCAGGCGGCTGGCACGAGGACTTCCTACTGCCTTTGAAGGCATCTCCTCAGGCCCTGTCTTTCCTGCACACCCAGCCCACAACGCAGCCCATGCCCAGCCTGCGGGGCTGGGTCGCTTCACAGGCGTCCCCTCCCCACCAGGCCCCGTCCTGAGCTGGCACCCTACTTTCCCACCCAGCAGCTCTTGCTCAATGGCAGTGCCCAGTGCCATGGCTGCAGATTGACACGATCCAACGGAGGGCAGGCTACCGTGGTGCTGGGATGTCGGGCTCAGGGGACCCTCCGATGCCCACTGGCCCCAGAGCAGGGGGCGGGTCCCTGGGGTCCCTTCTCAGGGAGGTGGGGTGAAGGCGCAGTGGGAGGTGTCCCCTAGGACACAGCTCCCAGGGGTCGGCCTAGGCTGGACTTTGTTCTGTTTTCCTCTTGCTCAGTGTGGTGACATGAGGTTAGCAGTCTTGGCTTCCCGTCGCCTGCACCCCCGGGGGGTGGTATCGCCGTAGACCTGCCGTTCAAGGCAGGCAGTCTGTGTGAGAGGGGCTTGGGAGATGAGGCAGCAACACAGGGCTGGGTAGGGCCTTCCGCACCTGGGGGAGCCTGGGAGAGGGACCCCTGAATGGCCCCAGCGCATGGGGTCCAGCGCCTGTCTGGAGCGGGGCTTCTCAGCGTGGAGTTCGTCACAGCTGCTCCTGGGGCACGAAGGGCCAGGGGCTGTGTCCACAGCACTGCGACCCAGGAATGGGCCTCTCTGTCCTTCCGAAAGCACCCTGGTGACCAGACACAGCGGGGAGCCCATGTCCACGGCCCTGCCAAGGAGAGGCCCATGTGGTGCCAGGAGCCACTGGAGCAGAGGCGTCAGCACGGTGCAGGGTTCTGCGCGCGAGTGGGAGCACGCCATCCACATTGCTCACAGGACCTGCGGCCTGGGGCCTGGCCGCGCTGTCCCAAGGGCTTGCACTGCACAAACGGAACACAGCGGAAGACACCACACAGATGCCATTAACAGTTTATTACTTTATTTCAATATTCTAGAAGGTGTGTACTCTCCACGGCTCTCCGGGCAGGGCCGGCGACAGGGGCGGTTTGGCAGAGGGCAACGGTGCACCGAGCCGCGCTGAAGGCTGTGGGGGCTTTGCTTCCAGGGTTCCATTCTTCCCGTGGAACCCACACTGGGCAGTCAGGATTAGAAGGGGATTAGACTGAGGCCTCTCGGCCTTACGTCAGCTATGACCTTGACGCCACGGGCAATGGCGCCAGCGAGGGGCTCTGCAGAAGGCCGGTGAGAGACGGCAAGTCGGAGGGAGGGGTGAGTACGTTAGCCAGGGAGCGCCAGGAAGGGTCAGCCAGGTTAGAGAAGGCGCGGCCCAGAGGAGCCCTCCTTGGTCCTTCCGGGCAGGTGGGCAGCTCAGGGGGCACGCGCGGGCCCCTAAGGTCGGGTGGGGGTGTGGGTAGGCGAGGGACGTTGTCTCCGCCGAGGTTACGGTTAGGGTGAGCCGGTGAGCACTGCCGTGCGCCTGAGGTCACGGCCGCTTTAGGTGACCAGCGAGACACCGCCAGGCCGCCAGAGAACGCCTGCAGTCCTGCTCCGCCACAAGTCCCGCTGGACCCGTGGGCTCTGCTCAGGAAGCCGGGGTGCCTCCTGAGGGCCCCAGGGGTCCCCGTTGCCTGCCTGGGGGGCCATCGCCCAGCCCACGCCTGCCTCCCGCTCCTCCCTCTGCCACGCACCAATTCGGCCAATCGGGGTGTGGGGGGCAGCCGCGCCCCTCTCTGTGCTGCCCCGCCATGGACTCTCACAGCTGCCCGGCCTGCATCCACTTGCCAAAAGCTCCCGCAACGCAGTAAACCACTCTGGGACTGTCTAATCCTGTTAGGGAAAACTCAAATTGACTTTAGGAGGTGAGAGAAGTGGCAGGGGAAAAAAAAACAAAGGAAGCGTGGATCACACAGTCATGCCCTCGCACGCTCCTGGACGGTGGGGTGTCCTGCAGGCAGTGCTCGGCCCAAGCGGGGGAGGGGGAGGGACGGACACAAAGTCGAGGGCTGGGGTCGCTGCCGGCCGCCATGGGCACGCGTGAGCACGTGGCCGGGCAACGCGAGGCACCATCGCCCGGGTTCCTCCGAGTGTGGCCCACGGGAAGCTAGGGCGATGGGCTGCTCCAGCCGGCTAGCTGGCAGGGTGTGCTGTTAAGGCGTTAGGGCGGTGGTGTTAGGAAGCGGGCTGGGGGCTCTGCAGCTGGCTGGGCTTCAGCGTCTGGCCATGGGCGATCCGGACCGACTGTCTCTCCCCCCCTAGGAAGGCAGACACAGGTGTGGTGTTAGTGAGCATGGGCCACGCAGCCGCACAGCCGGCCCCTCCCGCCTCCAGTGCAGCTTCCTCAAGGGCTAGAGACCCCGGGGAGATAGAGTACCCAGCCTGCCCTCCAGGTGCTGGTCACACGGAGGGCTGGTTGGAGTACGCTCCCAGCCATGCTTCCTGGGCAAACGCAGCTGGAAGGGAGGCAGAGAGCTGCTGACAGATGGGGTGGCGGTGCCATGTGGGCACGAGGGGAGGGGATGCTATGCGCCAGGGAGGTATGCCCTCCGTCAGGTCAGGTGTCTCCCCTGGGGTTAGCCTCCCATGTCTCTTTGGCCTTGGATCACATATTTCCATGGGGGCTGCTCTGCGGCAACACACGTGTTATTCCTGTTCAAGAAGCAACATGTCTGTCGAGGTGGCAAGTGCTGGCTCTGGTCCTTGGCATCTGCAGGCAGGTTGCTGCGGCCACGTGGTGACCTGCTGCTCTGGGAGCAGTTCCACCTGGCTCACAGTGCCCCATATCCTTACCACCGGCCTCTGGCTGCCACTGCCTGGTGCTGAGCCTGATCTGGGAAGCTGGCGTGGAATCTCCCTGTCGTCACACGTGTCCGCTGGGAGCACGCTGCCCAGCAAAGAGCCGGCTGGCTGCTCTTGCGCTCTCCCCTAGGCAGGGCCGGGCACTCCCCGTGTACCAGGACCACCCATGCAACCCTCACAGCCAAACCTGGATGTTGGGCACAGGTCAGGCTGAGTGCATGCTCGGCCCTCTGCAGGTGAGGAAGCCCATGCCGCTGGCACCAGGGCGGCGACGGAGGGACCTGAGGTGACACAGCTGAGGCCCTCGCTCTTCCCCTGTTGAACCACCCCAGCTGCCTCCCACGAGTGCGCAGGGCTGTGTGGAGCAGGCCCAGTGAGGACCACGGGGCTCCGACACCCGAGACACACAGTCTGCAGTGAGCACGGGGTGCCAGCGC